TGGGCTACTACATTTCCCCCCCAATAACAATATTTCAAACCCAAATTCATCGACACTAAAAGGCTCATAAGAATATTAAACCATTGAAAATTATTATGCCATTTTTTTTCTCACCCAGTTACAGTCATTGCAATATACCTGGTACCTTTCTATTCATAAAGGTGTAGCTTTGACTTAAGACATAAATATTGTCCATTATGTTGTCTTTATGGGCAGGCAGCAGGTTGATAGAGTATAGGCATTCCTCACCTTTTACAGTATTTTGAGTGGCCCCCAGGTCATTGCTGCCAAGAGAAACAAAATAACAGAAATTCAGAGTTGGAAGGGACCTTGGAGGTCTTCTAGTCCATACCCTGCTCAAGCAGAAAACACCAAACCATTTCAGACAAATGGTTAACCAATCTCTTCTTAAAAATGGAGCACCCCCTGGCAACTTGTTCCACTGTTTAATTGTTCTAACTGTCAGGAAATTTCTCATTAGTTCTTTCCTTGATTAGTTTCCATCCATTGCTTTTTGTCCTATCTTCAGGTGTTTTGCAGAATACATTGATCCTCTCTTTCTTGTGGTAGCAAATATTGGAACACTGCTATCATGCCACCCCTAGTCCTCCTTTTCATTACATACCCAATTCTTACAACTGTTCTTCATAGCCATTTTAATTTTCTAACATCTATTTTAATTTTGGTACATGTCCTCAAGCCACAAGTGAGTACTGTGACTTCTAATAACAGCAACTCCACACTTTCTTTAGACTTCAAATACTTTTAAAAGAAATCTCCTGATATAAACTGTTTGCCCATATCTGCTCTGTCAGTTGTGTTTGTGGTACTTTTTATACTGGCAAATAGAGTTCTCTCATGATTCTGTTGCCCAAAATATTTCCACCTCGTTAAAAGAAGTGACGCATTTCAGGTACATTTTCTCAATAAAAAGTGTATGTTGTATCACTGAACCATAGCCATTCTGATGTGTGATGGGTGATATGATTTTGCCTTGAACTGTGAGATGAGTAGCATATAAGTTTAACAGTAATAAGGCATATATGAATTGTAGCATCACAAAAATGCCATGCAGTGGTCAATCTGAGGAAAGTTTATGTTGGCATAAATCAATGGTTCTCAACCTTTTTAATGCCGCGACCCCCAACTGGTCATAAGTCGAGGACTACTCAACCGGTTGTAAGTCGAGGACTCCTCAACTGGTGCAGCACCGTTTGCAGAATGGGACTTTTGGCGGGCTCAGCAGGGCAGAGACAGCCTGGACAATTCCTATTGGCTTTTGAAAGCCAATAGAATTAGACTCTATTCAAGAGAGTCTATTCTATTGGCTTTCAAAAGCCAATAGAATAAAAGGGAGTAGCACAGCTAAGGAAAAGGGGGAAAAATGGCGGACTGCATTGTTTGGCGAGCCCCGTGAAATGGTCATTTGAGCCCAAATGGGGTCCCGACCCATAGGTTGAGAACCACTGGCATAAATGAACAATCAAGGAGTATTAGGTTCATGTATTTCTCTTTCCCCTATATGTAAGCATTTACTGTTTGAGATGGCCCACAATCAGCAATTTTCATTGAAACAGCACAAGAAGGAAGGCAGTGTGATAGACAAAGGAAAGAATATTTGATTCTGTAGGATATGTTAAGAATCAGTTTCTCATAAAAGACTATTAGACTGTGTTGTCAGGCACAATGGCATTGTTAGAAGAGAGATACTTTGTCTTCCTTCCTTTGCCTCAATCATAATCAGTAAAACATTCTGCTCCCAAACTATTTTACACTTTGCTATCAATAATGTAAAAGAACATACCTTCCATATTGCATTTCCAAATGGAAGATATGTTATTTATTCTTGGCAGGAAGGTATGAGAGTTGAATGTTTAATGCTATTAACTTAAAAATGCCATAGTGATAAAAAATATAACACTACAAAAGGAAAAATGCAATTATATCACTGTATCTTAGCTGCATTGTATTACGCACATGGAGTAGTATAGCAGGTTTGAGCTTGAATATCTTATTCCCCGAATGTTAACTCTTAGATAATAGCTATAAATAAGAAAGTTAGGAAAACGTTTCCTCTTTCTCCTCATTAGAACCATGGGGAGCGCCACTGCAGGCTACAGCGCCACTGCAACTGTTCAGATGTAGCCATCAAAGCAATAGCCCAATTATATTGCCTACTATGTTACCTACATTACTGCACCTAATTCTTGCTAAGTGCAGAGGATGGACTGAGTCTTAAGAGTGTACAGTTCTTGCCAGCAGTTTTTCCACAGAAGATTCTAAAAAAAAAACAAAACCCATAGGTTTTCTCCATTGGAATTTAATAAAAAGGTAAATGGTGATGACCTGATCAGTGTGGATGGGCCAGCCACTGTTTAAGGGGGACTAAAATGGTATTTTTCTAATAGTTATTTCCTCATTGCTAATCCCTATTTCGTTATTTTATTGTTTCAACTTGCGCATGTGTGTGTTTTTTTTACTTATTTAACCTATTCTGTATGCATTTTATTTAAAAAATGGTCTCTGATCATGAATAAATAAATATCTTTCCACCAGTATGTTTGGGATGTGTAATTCTCTTCCATGAAACATTAGAAATTGAGAGTGATTAACCCAAAACCATGCAGTAAACTTCCTCATTAATGAAGTTTCATTCACTGGCCCCTTCTAAGAATTCTTGCCCTATTCAGCTTGTTAAGCTCACTGGACAACCCAGTGCTGCATAATGAGAATGGCTTGGTTCCAGAAGTTGTGGGTGCTCCATCACTGGAGGTTTTTAAGAAGAGATTATACAGCCATTTGTCCAGAATGGTATAGGATCTCCTCCTTGGGCAGTGGGATTGAACTAGAAGATCTCCAAGGTCCCTTTTTGTTATTCTATATTCTGTATAACCTCATATTAACAATGTTTAGTCTTGTGACCTCTCTTTGGGCTTGGGAAGTTGCCTGTGATTTTAATGGCAATTTCTGAGATCTACATGGTCATGCATGGTTTTCTTCCCCTTGGTCACATGACCAAACAAGATCCGGTGATTTTGCAGCTGGTGCAATTTTTCCCCCTCCTCCTTGCTGCTGCATGGAGGACCAGGGAAGTGAATCTCTTGTTGCAGCTCTTGTTGCTCCTTTCATTGCTATTGCCTTGCGGACTGGAGTACTGGGGTTGCCTTTCTTTTTCATTATAGTACTGTGCTTATTTGTAAGTACAAGAAGTCCTCAACTTATGAGGATAAATGAGCCCAAAATTTCCGTGGCTAAGCAAGGCAGTTTTAAGTGAGTCACAACCCATTTCATAACCTTTTTTTGCCATCATTGTTAAGCAAATAACCACAGTTGTTAAGTGAATCACACGATCATTAAGCAAATCTGGCTTCCCCCATTAACTTTGCTTCTCAGATGCTCCCTAGTAAGGTTGCAGATGACAATCCCGAGGCACAGGGATGCTGCAACCATTGTAAATACTGTGTTTTCCCCGAAAATAAGACCTGGTCTTATATTTTTTTTCCTCCAAAAGAGGCATTAGATCTTATCTTGGGGGGTGTCTTATTTTTTTCCAGGAGCTGCCCAAACGCCCGCTTACCATGCTGCACCCTCCTCTGCAAGGTCTGTTGTGTTGTAGCCACTGCTGCAAGGCACATCCTGCTGCCATTTCTATCATAAGCAGCATCCCGCTGCCACTGCCACCACCATGAAGGGCATCCCACCGCTGTTGCTGCCGCCACAAGGTGCGTTGTGCTGTCTGCCACGAGGCGCGTCCTGCTGTTGGCGCCATCACTGCGAGCCGTGTCCTGCCGCTGTTGCCACCGTAAGGAGCGTCCTGCTGCCGTTGCTGCCATGAGGCACTTTCTGGTGTGGCCACCGCCGCAAGGCACATCCTGCTATTTTGCTGCTGTCACAAGATGCATCCTACTGCTGTTGCTGCCACGGCGTGTCCCGCAACGAGTCTCATGGCAACAGCACTAGCAGGACACACCTCGGGGCAGCGTGATGTGCCTTGCAGAGCAATGGTGGCAGGAAACGCCTCATGCCAGCAGCGGCAGTGGCAGCAGGATGTGCCTCGTGTTGTCAATGTCAATGGCAGCTCAATGCACTTTGCAGCGGCAGCAAGAGCCCTGTGATATGGTAAGTGGATGTGGGGCGTGTGGCGCAGCTCCCCCGTCCTCCACCTATCTCATGTCTTAGGAAATAAGTAAGATTTATTTTTGGGTTAGGGCTTATATAAAGCCCACCCCAAAAAATCAAGCTAGGGCTTATTTTTGTGGAAGGTTTTATTTTTGGGGAAACACAGTAAATGCCAGTTGCCAAGCACCCAGTTTGATTGTGTGACTTGTGGAGATGTTGCAATACTCAGAAGTGTGAGAACTGGTCATAAGTCATTTTTTTTAGTGCCATTGTAACTTTGAGCAATCATTAAACAAATGGCTGTAAACAGAAGACTACCTGTATTTTTTCCCCCATTGCTGTGTTTGTTTGCATTTGCCTTGGAATTGCTTGCAGAAATACTAGCCAGCATCTAACTGTTGCTTTCTTGCTTTTTGTAATCAGCTTTTGCACCAGAGAAATTTCATGCAAGCTTCCAGATTGTTGGCTACCCAGCTGCTTAATTTGATCAAATAAAGTGCTGCTTGATCAAGAAGTCTCCCCTTGGGTTATCTGATTAAATTGATATGGTATCTCAAGTTCAAGTAAGGGACTGGGACCTTACATTACCGTAAAGTTCCTTTGCATTCTACTACATTGTGTTTGTTCGCATAGGTTTTATATTTATTCACCTCTTCTTAGCATTTACCAATAACCTACTTCACAGAATCATTAAAAGAATCAGCAACGCCTTTACGATTATTAAAACATCATTACTACCAGTATTTTCCCCCTCTTCTCCCGATTTTAAAATCAAACGTACTGGGCTGGAAAAAAAAATCAGTGGCTTAATTTCTACAAAGAAGTTTTTCGTAAAGGGGCTACGCTCTCCTTCCCAGGGCTTTGGGGAGGTGGGATTGTCGTTTTGCTTGCGACGCATATCTCCCCGCCACAGGAGGACACATGCAGGAAGGCGGGCGGAACTGGGTGCTGAGCCCGTGTCTGCTAGAATCGGCTCCGGAGGATAGAGCCGGGCCGATCTCCTCTCGACAGCTCTGCAGAGTAAGACTTTCTTTCCTCGCCCCGTCTGAGAGCAACGCGGTCCGCGGACTGGCACTTTTTGCCGCCTTGCCATTGCTCATCAAGACTGCGCGCGCGCCTCGGCCTTGCTCTCCCCTCGGCGGGGCGCTAACATGGCAGCGCTCTGCGGCGGACTGACAGCCCTTTCCGCCCGCTGCAGATCTCTGGTTGGCCGTGAGGAGAACCGCGAAGAAGCTCCGCGGCTGGTCTCCCGTGTGGCTGCTGTTGGTACTGCGCTGCCGGCGCCGCGCCCTGCCCCGGCTTTCCGCTCTCCATCCCACCTCGTTTGGGAAGCTGTTTCGCAGCGGGGGCGAAAAGTTCCCTCCGGCGCGCTGACCGCGCAGGTAAGCAAGCAGCCGGGGCTGGGTGGAAAGAGAGAGACTTCGCCCTGGGAGTCCTTTCTCTCTCGGTACTAAATGGGCTATATAGGAGTGGGGGCGTGTGGCTTTGGGAAACGGAAAGGCCTCCTGGCTATTTGGGAGCAGCGTCAGATTCAACGGTGGGCTTAGCCGGGGTTGTAAGCCCCTTCGAGGCCGCAGCTAAACGGTACTCTAAATAAAAAAATCCTGTCGCTGCAGCAGAGATGGCGAGAAGAACGATTTATTCGCCAGTCGCTGCAGCGCCGTGGTCAAGGGCTTCTTTCAGACTCCCCTTTCAGACGCTCCTCCCCCCCCCCCCGGCTCTCAGCCTTGGCCTTGGGAGAAAAATAACTGTTACGTTGGAGGAAAGCCCGTTGCCCGCGTCTTAACTGGAGAAGATGGGGCGTTTTATCCAGCTGCAGGGTATAGTTATGCCTGGGCGGAGTAGGAACCTGGCTTCATGTTTGGAAAGGGTAGCACGCATATTACTTGGATTTGTTTTACGAACAAATGGGAAATACCTGCTCCCATACAAACTTAGTTGAATTCAGTGGGGCCTTCCCCCCCCCATACTCAATTGAAGTCTTACTCTTTTAGGTGCTGTTGGATTAATGGTAAGGGTATGTGTATTGACAGCAGTGGAAGTTTCCCTTCCTGCTCCTTTTCTACAGCTTCCCACTGTTTGGGCTGAGCCAATACTCTGGAGCAAAGGAGGAGGAATTTTACCTGGAATAGATTGAGGTTGGACAACCTTGGATACAAGAATGAAAAGATTTCAAATGTTGCTTCTTTATCTCCAGTTCTTGTGTACCTTAATTCCTGGGCTTATGAAAGAACAGATGAGAAACAGGGTTGCCAGTGAAGTTCCTTTAAAAAAAAAAAAACCCAAGATTTCACACTGTAGCCCAGATTCTACACAAAATCCCAGCAAACATAATACATCAGTTTTAAATTCAATTATTTTTACCTGTTAATTTACCCATTGCTAGCAAGGTTTCCTAAAACAACCAAGATTTCACCCTCAAATAAACCCAGATTTTACACACATACACACACACACACACACGATAACAAATACAATCAGTTTTACGTTATTTTTACCTATTTAATGCGTACAATGTAATGTAATGTATAGAAGAACTTAAAAGTTCATTAAATATTAAAATAAAAAATCTACAAACCTAGATAGGGAGTGGAAAATCAGCACCGGCAACCCTGATGAGAAGATAGAATATTTTCATATTTTGTGTGTGACTCTGACACTGAGAAAGGTTCTGAAGAAAGATATATATGTGTTGTTGTGACTGAGATTAAGGCTTGGTATGGGCAAGGAAGAATGTTGGATGAAAAGGAAGAAAACAGTAAAATTTATTGAAAGTTTTTTTAAAAAATTAAAATGTCAGTTCAGTATGGCAGCTATAAACCCTACTCCTTTTTAATGCATGTTGTATGTGTGGCCGTGTAAAAAGATGGGGTTAAATCTTTTCCTTTACCTTTCCCTGAGGATAAATCTGTTTTCAAATGAAAAATTGATCTGGGTTTGTATGTTGGTTACTGTAATTGCATATAAGAGTATTTATAAATGTTCTTTCAGATCTATTTAGCATCAAACAATCTCAAGAATCAGACTTCTTTTGGGTAAGAGCCTTAAGCCAAGTTTTATGGAAACATTGTTTTACAATTAGGTAAGATGATTTGGAATATGTTTCTTGGATATTTATCTTGTAAAATCCCTCAAATCAGATCTGCATAATCATTTTTGATAACAGAACAGAATAACAGAGTTGGAAGGGACCTTGGTGTCTCTAATAGTCCAACCCCCTGCTCAAGCAGGAAGCCTTATCCCATCTTAGACAAATGGTTATTCAATCTCTTCTTAAAAACTTTAAGTGATGGAGCACCCATAACTTCTGAAGGCAAGCCAGTCCACTGATTAATTGTTCTAACTGACAGGAAATTTCTCCTTATTTCTAGGTTGGTTCTCTCCTTGATTAGTTGCCAGCCATTGCTTCTTGTTCATTTTAATAATTCATTTTGGTAATCAGTTTTGTGGAGTAATTAAGGAAAAAAGGCAGTCATTGAGAGAAAGTGCTGGTGGCTTCTGTCTTAAATCCCTACAAATCATTATAGTAAGTCTAGCATTCTCTGTTTGTGAGAAACAAGGTTTGTTATATATACTTTCAGCTTCAACCTTTGCTTGTTTTTTTTTTTTAAATGTAATTCTGTTATGTTTGTCTTACAGAACTCTAGATCCTGTTTGGTTTTGCTGGCTTGAAATTATCATCTTTTTTCCTATAAAAATTCATATCTTATTACAAGGACGTTAAAGTTAAAAGTAAGTGTTTATTTACATAGCAAACAGAACTAGAATGATAAAGAAAATTGATTTCAGTAATCTGACTTTTATTCAGATGCTGATTGTAGAAATAAAGGTCATTTTTTAAATTAAATTTTATTTTATTAATAAAAAGCTGTATCATTTTTAATATTTTATTGATGATATACAGTTGACCATTATCTATGCAGAAGATTTTATGAAGTATCATTCACTTGATTTATGTCTACTTCCTAGAGGGACGTTGCTTTCTGGATTATAAAAGACTATTTCTTTTGACAAGATTAATTTATGTTTGAAATAATGAACTAAAATAGGACAAAGATTTTGAGCTAGATTATTTGTAGCCTCCAGTTTTTAAAACACTGCGGCATACTGCATCTTAACGTTTGTATTTCAGCATATATGTGTAGTTTGTTAAAAGTCTAAACTTACCTTGCAAGAGATTTTCTCCTATTGTCTGTTTAGAATAAGGGACTTCCTTATTGTAAAAATATAAGCTTCTCAGAAGAAAATTAGAACTAAAACATGGGTTCAGATTTGATCTTGAGATTTATACAAAACATGTTGCCCATATATGCGTGACAAAATGCATTTGTATTGATTGTTATGTGCAAATCGTATACTGAAGTTCAAAAGTTTCTGCAGTTTCCTAACATGAAAAAGTGAGTTCATGTATAACCTTTATTATATGAATTTAACATTTATTCCTCTGTACTTTTGAAAGTACAGGAAATTATTAACAGGAAAAGCTATTTACATTCTGTCTATTTTCATTTTTTTTAATGTACTATGAGGTTAGATTTTTTCTTTTTCTGTACCTCTGTCATGGTTAGAATGTTTAAGGGATTACATTTTGCCGTCTGTTCCTTTTCAATTGCTGCATTGTACCAGGATCTGCAGTGAGTTGGTATGTTTGTTTTGGTTATTCTGTCTTTACCTCTAGCTATAGGAGACTCTAATATTGTAAACAAAACACATGTGCTAATAGTCTCTCAGAGAAGGAATGTATTTTGAAACATCAGTATTTTGAAGATAGGAAATAATTTTCCAATGTGTGTTTGATATGCACAGAAACCTAAATATATTTTGGATTTCATAATAGGCAACTTTTAAGCTTAAAATGTTGACAACTCTATGTGCAAATAGAAATATACATCAGTTCAATCATTATGGAGTAGAAAAGATTGATAGGCTATCCTTCCTTTGCCAGTCACTTTTGAATATAAAACAGTAAAAATAAACAGTAATTGTAAACAAGAAATCGAATAGATTGGTAGACATTTTATTTATTTGCTATTAAATTAATATAGCCGTCCATCTTACATACTTGACTTGGGATAGCTTACAATAAAACAAATAAACAATGTATAGACAAATATAGTATTTCACTGGCCTGCTTGGCACTCAGTATCCATAAAGACAGCTTATCTGCTTTTCTCTGGTGGCAGAGTTATAGATCTGTTTGTCTGTTGCTGGTCAGTATGTCTCTATGTTATGTGTATAGCCATGCCAGCTATTCTTCTCGAATAAAAAAAGCACAATAGGTTGGTCATGTGACCATCGCTTTTCACTTAGCATCATATCTCTTGGTTTGTAATTTTCACACAAAGTAGGGTGCTATCCCACTAGCCAGCATGGAAATGCAGCAAGCAATGTGTTTTGTTTCATTCTGTGCCGGGCAAGAAGATGACAAAAACATTGTTCTTCACACTCTGCTCAGAAGTCTGGGCCTTGCAAAAAAGATTTGTCTTTCCATTAGCAGTCAGTGCACTCAGAGAGATTGTAATTATTTATGTTTTGGACAACTAGATGAATATTTAATCAAAAGACTGAGAGACAAGGCCTAGCAGGATTTCCTCTTGCAGGGATGAGAAATGATATTGCGTAATATATTGTTCTAGTTTAATTGGAATCAATTTGGTCCATAGCCAATGATATATGGCATTCAGCTTTGAAGTTAATTCTTTGGTTTGTTTGATCTTCAGAACATTTACTTCATAGAATACTACTTCAGTATGGCATAAGTTCATTGATTGATGAATGTTGCTTATTTTATCACTTGATGTCTTAGATACTACATTTATCTCAAAATAAGGTAGTACCGGATTTAAGGTTCCCTATCCCAAAACGAAAAATAGAATAAAAAAAATTATAAACAAACACAAAGATCTTGTGCAATGCTCTTCTTTCCCACTGTGTCCACCTATGGTTGTTAGTTTAATCTGAAAGTAATCCTAGGATTTTGTTGTTCACCAACAAAACTCTTCATCCAACTTGTGTGTGAGTATGCTTGTTAAATGAATATACTCCATACATGTAATTCTTAATCTGCTGAATCAAATATATCATGCTGATTTTAAAAAATAAATAAATAATGATTGTTATAACTGCTTACGGTGTTATTTTAATATGCTACTTTTCTCACCTTTAACAAGTAGATGCAAATTTGTATTGAATAATGGTTTAGTGTAGAATTTGACAGCAGTGATAAAATCATATGGATGTTTAATTCCATCTTTTTCAGCCACCAAAATTGAGGATGTCTCAGGATCCAAACATACCAGATGTAACTGAGGGAAAATCAGATGTGTCACAGGATAATCAACAGGACCATGTGGACAATGCAGAGCAGTGCGTCCGAAAGAAGATTCGACAGAACACACCAAGTCCTAGTAGAAGTAGTATATCTGAGGGTAAGCAAAATTATTCCAATAGAATACTTTTTATAATGAGCAAAACAAGGTTTCCTTTTGATCTGCACATCTATGTATCCTTCTTCTGAAAAATGGAACATTACCCTCACCTCAAAAAATCTCAGAAACTGCTCACTATTAATGTGTTTTCCAAGAAAATTACCTGTATAGGGATTGGGGCAAAGCCTCTTTTCTGCAATGGTGAGACCTTTTTCTTTACCTAATTCCTCTATAGAAGAATCTTTTCATTAGCCAGATTAAATGCCTTACCATTTATGTTCCAGGAAGGAAGATTCAGCAGTATGCCACCACAAGTCCCCTGGGCCCTTGCCCAAACAGGATGATCAAAATACTCTTGGACATTCTGTTGCACTGCCCACTGCAATTTATTGCTCTGAATAAATTCTGTTCCTACTAATTTCTTGCTTGGTTTGGTTAGAATTAAAAAATACCTGCATAAATGTATAGGGGTTGCTATCATTGTTTGATTATAATTGTTATACAACAGCTTTGAGATTAATTTTGGCAGCACCTACTGGCAGATTTATCTCTGCCTTGATGGTTGATAATATTATTAATTTCTTGTGGAAGGTGTTTCCTTTTGTTTTTTTCTGACCACATTGTGTTTGATATTTTGGTCTTGATCATAAATTAACTAAACTAAACACATATTAAATAAATATGTATTATGTATACATTAGAACCTTCACTACGATTCTGTACCGTGTCCCAATAAATGTTGAAAAACAAACTAATTAGCAAGTTAATGTCTGGCTAACATAAAACTTCCCAATCTTCAGTCTTCCAGTCTGGGACATTTTTTGAATTAAGAACTAAATGCAGATTCTATTTTGCATTTCTGTTTCATCCTGCACAGATGGCCCTTTGTTTATCCTTGATCTCTGTTTGCCATTAACTATCTCTTATTCATAGTATGGATATGATAATGAAAATAATAGTGATAATCAATACATTGATAAAAATGCCAAATCCAGTCCAAACACCTGGCTGAATGTGCAACCAACCATAATAATATAATTTCTTTACCCAACATTTCAATTTCCTTTCCTTTCATTTTTAGATGTGTCACAGTTATCGTTTTTGTGACCATGTTTTCTCAGAAAAGAGATGAAAAGAGATTGAGTATGGAAAATTTGAATTGAATCCTGTTAGAATTATGTCAACATCATAATTAAAGGCTTCCTGGTATTAATAGCAATAGCACTTAGACTTATATACTACTCCACAGTGCTTTACGGCGGTTTACAATGTCAGTATATTCCCCCCAACAATCTGAGTCCTCATTTTACTGTCCTCAGAAGGATGGAAGGATGAGTCAACCTTGAGCCGCTCAGGATCAAGCTCCTGGCAGTGGGCAGAGTCAGCTTGCAATACTGCATTCCAAACACTGTGCCACCATGGCTCTTTATAAAGATTTCCTTATACTTAGCATGCTGTACTTGTATTTTCCTTCTAATACCCAAAATATTGGTCCTGATAACTGTACAACATGATCGGTTCTTAGGAATTGTAACATAAAACATTTCAGACTATACTTAAATTGCTGGATTCAGCTGTGTTTGTTAATTAATGTCTATAATTTATTCATTAGTTTTGTATACCACCATTAGTTCCTGTATTGGGTGACTTTAGGCAAGTCACTCTTTCTCAGCCCAACTTACCTCACAGGATTGCTGTTTTAGGAAAAATAGAAGGAGGAAGATATGTTACAGCAATGGCCAAAATTATGGAAACCTTTTGGGAAAAGTGTACAGTAGAAATGCCACCTTTGGTTAAGTTTCCACCAATTTTTCTTCTCTTTATAAATGTAGTCTTGTTCACTTAATAATATTATTTTACATCGCTTTCTGGGCAACCAGTCAACTCTTTGCACCATTACTTTAATTTTGTTACGTTTTACAAGCTCCCTAAATAAAGAACACAAAAAAAAACCAACCAACTTGATAGCAATCACATAACACACTGACAAATGTCCTCCTCTCAGCTTCAATACATGACATCAAGAACTGAATCCTACTGTGATCTGATTGCTCATTGCCAAAACAAGATGACACCTGACTGGCTTTCTAAGCACTCATGTTCATTGGCTACAATCAGATGAAGGAAAGCTACCTAATATTAACCTAAGCAAGTTGTGCTTCCTTTTTCTGGTTATTTGGCTATAACTTTTCATAGAATACAGTACAGATAATTGAACAAACTCTATTGCATTACATTCTTGATTAAATTATCTTTCCATTGATATATAATTTTATGGTACTACTCCAAAAAGAAAAAAAGTGGTGTTATTAGCCATCGAACCTCAAAAATATAATTTTCCCAAAAGGTTTTCATAATTTTGACCACTATGGTAGATATGTTTGCTGCCTTGAGTTATATAAAGGTGGAATATAAATAAATATGAAGTAAATATTGATAAAGCAGTGGTTGGGTGATGCTCATTGAGCCCATCTTTTCTCCCCATGTGGCTTCATCCTCATCATTTCACTCCCTGTCAAAATCTAAAACTGTAAGAGAATTGCATTGAGAGACGTTGACAAGAGGCTTAGAACAAAGGACAGATCCTTATCTGGTAATATCAAGAATTGGTTTGGGGTGAAAACAGACATGAGAGAATAGGAAGGTAAAGAAAGGAATGAGAATGAAAATAAAATGACTATAAGAACAGAAAGTATGAGTCCTAAATCAAAAAATAGATGACTCTCCCAGTGAATGAAAAGTAAAAAAAGGATGATATTCAAGCCGCTTATAACAGCATGAAAATAATTATTTGACAGAGTGCCATAGAAACATGGGGAATTTGGCAGGCAGATGGGCAAGCAGACAGGCAAGTAGTTAGATAATAAGAGGTAGCTGAATAATAAAAGAATTATATTAAAAATGAGGTTGTAAAAAGATTTCTGAATTTATATTTGTGCTACGCACAATATTTGTGCATTATGGTTAATGCATACACATAAGAGTTGCAAAGAGCATTAGAAGAAACAATAAATGAGGCTGAGAAAATGAATTGATTTGGATGTGAATAAGAAACTTGTTTTAGAAGTCAGTGAAAAAGGATAGAGATGGGGCCTTCAGCAGGATGAATAAATTAAGAATAAAAGTGATAAAATAATCTGAGTTGAAAGTAAAGTGAAAAAAAATAGAGATTTGAATAGGAATGATTATGATATGTCAGAGAGTGAAATTGAAAGGAACTATAAAAGTTAGTGTCCAAGAAAAGAAAATTATGAAAAATAATTTAAGTACTGTGAAAATGCTGAAAAATGATAATGATGCTGGTATAGCTGCTGTAACTGATAAAACTTTGAACATTGGCTGTGCTTTGTTTATGAATGGCAGTGCAGTTTTTTTAACATATGTGAAGGTTGTATCTGTGCATGATGACTAGAAGAATGCTTATATTGTTTCCTCATACAAAAGATTAATGTAAGCATTAGTAAGGTTTAGGAAGATTCTTGTCAAAATTCCGATTGAGCAAATGAGCAAAATTTGAGAAGGGTCAAGTAGCTTTATGTCTGGCAACAATGTGCAGACCAGATCTGAAATAATTTGATCATATATAAAGAGTGAATGAAGATCAAATTGTACAACAAATATATGAAGAAAGAGTGAGCGGGATGAGAAGAAAAAGAAGACCAAGAACATTGTTTGTATGTGGAGCTTATAACACCCTTAAAAACCAGAATAGTGAAAAATTTAAAGAACAAAAGACAATTACTATGTAGATGTGATTAAAAGCTAGGATGACTTGCAAAACAGAAATGTGTTGACTAGTATGAATGATATTAGCATAACAAGATTGGGATAAATTATGTCAGTTAATAAAAAAGAAAAATTTTACATAGTATTTCTTATTTCTCTTCTCCACCTTGCATAAGGATTTTTTATTTTGAAAGGGAATAGCATAATGGGTACATATGTATAATGCATGGATTATATTACAGCTTCAGGTACTGTATAGCTTGATTGAAATGGTCAGATTGTATGTTGAATATTTTTCAACTAGCAGGATACACTTTGCTGAAGCATATTTCCTCGGTCCACAGCTAGCCCTCCTCAGTTTGTGTCAGTGGAGGAACTGATGGATACAGCAAAAGGTGTTACAAACATGGCCTTGGCCCATGAGATTGTTGTCAATGGAGGTTTTCAGATTAAACCGGCTGACTTGCCAGAAAACAGGTAAGAGGCCTGTTGTGGGTTGAAAAAATTCTAGAGCTGGGTTGTGATTCATAATCTTAAAGGAAAAGAAGCATGACCAGTGGCTCCAAAAGTGAAGTCACTACTTCTGTTAAGAAATAGATTTGCAACATGCTCAGACCAATGTTGTGGAGGTTTTTCAGAAATGTTCTACACTCCGTTAGACTCAGTCTTAAAGAGAGCATATTTTTCTTTTATGGAAGAATACCCATGGAAACTTTAAGACTGAAAGAAAATATATTAGGACATCATTATTCATTTTTAAAAATGCAACTGCAAATATACAATATGAAATACACAATGTACAGTAAATGAGCAACACAAGTATTGTATCAGTTATTAAAACACAATAAGAATTGGGCAAGTCATGCCCAAGTGTTGATTGCTTTGCAGAAGGAAGAATAGTTATCATGAATGTTTTAATGTAGAAAAATAAAAATCCTTAAAATCATGTATTCCAAGTTGTGCCACTCTTTCTTTATAAGTGGTATCTTCCAGAGTGCTGTCTCCCAAACCAGGCCAAGCATTCCATTATTTCTTTTCATAGCACATTTTATTGTTTTAGCAACTGCCAGCAACAGTGAAAAGGTCATCTATTTTTTAAAAATGGAATTCCATATAGAGACAAACATAGGATAAAGGCAAACAACTCTTATGGGGGCTTGTTTTGTACATTATACATGGAGCTTTCGAGACCTGGGTTAATTGGAGCTCTTCAGCTTCTTTGGTAGCCATTCCCTTTCATATATATGAATGAGTGATAAAACCTGAGTTTCTCTTACTGCCATCATAGTCACTGAGCCTAGCAAGAAATTATCTTGCCTTTTTCTTCTTCATTGTGATTTCCTCCTGAATACATAATCTGTGTGAGTTTGTTGGCAAGAGATTTACCCATGCCTTTCTTTAATGTGTTTCTCAGTTAACTGCATATCAGAGTTGCTTTTCTTCTAAGTCCCATAAGCTGATTATTTTTATATTAATGTTAATGACTTAGTTTATTTATCTTCATTTTGCTTACCAGTCTTGAAAAAAGAGTAAGAGATATTGTCCACAAAGCATTTTGGGATTGCTTGGAAACGCAGTTAAAAGAAAACCCACCTTCATATGATCACGCAATTAAACTTGTAGGAGAAATTAAAGAGGTAAGATAGTATTGTCATTTGCAAAACTTTGAATGTTTCTTGTCCATCTGCAAATCTAATTATTTAAAAATAACTGAAGTAGCAGCAGTCTATATGCAGCTTTAATTGTAGAACTAGTGATCTCCAAAGTTTTTTGAATAGCTAGTCAGCCAGAGTGGGGGATAGCAGTGATGGCAGGAGATGGTGATAAATTTGGAAAGTCCAAATTTTGTTCATGTGACTGGAGGCATTGTGATGGACAGAAATTTGAGGATTGGTCATAAGTCCCTTTGTTCAGTGCCATTGTAACTTCAAATGGTTGCTGAACATTAAGCAAGGACAATTTATATGTGTTATCTTCCAAATGATCTCATTTACATTGTTGCTAGTACTCTAAAGTACTCAAAAACAATGGAGTAGTATACATGGATTACCAAATGAATATGTAAAAATGGGCCTTTGTGTCCCATTTTGATTTATAGATGCAGTTTTTGGAACACTGGAATATGGTATGCTGAGTTAGATGAACTCTGGTTTGATGCATTAAAGAAAGTTTCTTAAAACCATGATCTATTTGTTTTCTTGCGCTTTGGAAACATGAATGGGCGATGCAAATCCTTTATTTGTAGTTTTGAAATACCTTTCATTACTTTGCTGTCTGCTTCCTTTAAGACCTGCCAAATATTGCTCTAAAATGAATGTACAAGGACTTTTTATTTTCTAATTATCTGGTTTATGACCTGACACTACTAAGTCATTACGCTAGTCATTCTACAATGCCAGTTTGGCTGTACAGTGGCTATAATCTTTTAGAAAAGCCTTTGCCTTCTATATTGAAATTCTGTCCATAGCTTCTTTGTAGCTTGGTATTGGGAGAGAAAAGTGTTGCAAAAAGCATAAGGCATACAGAGAGAATTGCTTAACCTTTGTTTCATTTGCTTTTTTTCAATTTTTCCTAATTAAACTGTTAAAGAGGCTTTAAAAAAACAACAGAGCAAAAATCTATATTCAACTGCATCTTGAATGTAGTTGGAGAAATGTCCAATTTCAATAAATAAAACTTTGAAACCTATCATTTGATCTTATATTTTTATATGACCTCTTTTCATAATAACGTAATATTGTTGTAGTGGTTTTTATTTTTGAATGGTGACGTCAGCAGTGTAATTAGTACTAGGAGCTAACCAAAAGGACATTACTTTCTTTCAGGCTCTCTTGTCTTTTTTGCTGCCTGGCCATACTCGATTAAGAAATCAGATTACTGAAGCTCTTGATCTGGAGCTGATAAAACAGGAGGCTGAGAATGGTGCCCTTGACATTTCTAAGCTGGCAGAATTCATCATTGGAATGATGGGGACACTCTGCGCTCCAGCGAGAGATGAAGAAATTCAGAAGTTGAAAGACATCCATGAAATTGTTCCCCTGTTCAGGTGCTAGAGAGGAAAAAGGGGAAAAAGGAATAAGTCTTCAGTTCAAAATGGCTTAAACAGCCACATCATTTTAATAGGCATTAAATGCTATATGGGCTACTTGAATATATTTTCTTCTTCGTTTTTTATTGGGGATGTTATGTTAGGAATGAAGAAATTTGGAATAATAAAGGAAGATTGTTCTTTGGCTAAGGATAATTCTTGTAATGTTTTACAGTAATGTGTATTTCCAGTTCTTTAAGGTGAAAGTTCAAGCCCCTTATAGCAAATCCCAACAAAGTAAAGATTCACACAGTTTCATTTATGAGGTTTAAGGTAAAGAAATGGGAGATTATCATGCAGAGTCTTGCAAATTCAATAAAACTTGTACCTTCATTTATGAATGAATTTAATAGTGGGCTCTTTGTGAATTGTTTGAATCTCTTTTTCCCAGATTAGCTCCCAGATTTCTTGACTGTTCAAAGTTTGCTTTATTTTTTTAAAAGTATGACTAAATCTTGAAAAGTTTAATGTCTTTTTATTTTTTGCAGAGCAATTTTCTCTGTGTTGGATTTGATGAAAATGGATATGGCTAATTTTGCTGTCAGTAGCATTAGGCCACATTTAATGCAGCAGTCAGTAGAATATGAAAGAAAGAAATTTCAGGAACTGTGTGAAAAACAGCCAAGTACGATTTTTCTTGCCCTCCTTCACTAAATGATAAAATGGAAATTATGAAGTGGATTCAGCATGAATATTCAATTTCATTTTAACAACTTACTTAACTGTTCAGTAATCAAAAGAATATTAAATAAAAACTCCATAAAATATGCCCCTGATCCCTGTTTTCCCTCCCATCCAAAATGATGCAAATCAAAACAAATTAAATACTACTACCAAATGCCTGTATAGTCAATGCTATTTCCAACGTCTTTATATATCATAATTCCAAATAAAAAATTACACCCGATTTCATGCAATAGCTGCTATGTAAATCTGGCAGCTATTCCCCAAAGCGGAATTTATCTCTTGCGTTGGACCATTGTAAATGTCCTGGAAAAAATGGGCAATAATGGTAGCCATAATTATTCAAGTGTTTTAGTGGTGAAAATGAGTAACTAAATGGGAATAAGAAATGGTGGCACCTATCAATTTTATGATAAATGCTGTATATGACCCCTTCCACTTATGGACCTGATTTAAGCCCTTCCTGGCTCCTGTTTGGGGCTAGGTGTGTGTGATAACCTGGATTTGAGAGATTATCAATATTTTTTTGGATTTAGGTTGTTGGGAAAGGTTCTGAAGCACATGAGTATTTAGCTGAAGAAAAATTTAGATCAAGTAGATAATTCACACTTTTCCATCATGGTCCTAGGCATGGGATAGAGGCAGCATTGATCTAGTTGGTGACTTTTGTTGGGATCTTGATGGGAAAGTGCACCAATTTTGTTCCTTCTTGACTCTTTTTGATACCATTGACTTGTTATCCTCCCTGAGCATCCATGGAGGTTGGGATTGGTGCACTGTTCTTTAGTGATTTCAAGTCTAACTCAGTGGCCAGTTCCAGTCAGTGGAAATAGGGAAAGAGACATTGGCCCACTATTGTTCCCGTGGTAGGGTACCAGAGAATTGATATTTCCCCCTTGTGATTAACATCTGTATGACATAGCTGTGAAAAGTTTTGGGTGCAAGTCATTATAGAGAGTGGTGGAGTCTAGATGAGGTTCAAAGTAGTTTCATTTATAAAGCCCTTTGGCTTAACATCTAGTAGTTACAGGACTACCTATCCAATTGGGTTCAAATAATCACCTTCCCATGTTTTGAAGAAATATTTGAAAAACTATTTGAAAATAGTTTTTATTTAACATTAAACATATTCCTTTGAGTTTAAATAAATAAAATGTAATTTACTTTTCCAACATAGTTAATGTTCTTGATTGATAAAATCTCATGAACTTGAGGAAAGATGAAACAAAGTTAGACTTTACAATCAGTTCCCATTAATACACATTTTAATTAAATCTTCTGTTTTCTCATTTCTTGACCGTATTTATCTGTGGACTTAAAATTCAGATGATAATGAGTACAGAGCAGAAGAGCAGAAGAATCTAGGCCCTGAATCTGTTTCTTCCTTTTCCAAGCTTCTAAGAAGTTTTGAACATGGATTTATGATAGTAGTGTTTAATTTCTTAGTATCAGGAAGGAATATTTTGCTGACAGAATAAGAGTCCAGTATTAGCTCATCCTGTACCCACTGAATTCTTTTTGAATTACAAATAATGTAAGGCGTTCCAATAAAAAAAATGATAGTCATATGTTTAACATGCCTTAAAGTCCACTAATACCAAATAGTTTCCTAATAGTACCGGATTTTAAAATAATTATTTATTTATAAATAATTCTTCATAGGGTATTAAAGCACTTCAGGACATTGGAAATGTTTGAAGCAGGGCTTCCATTTTAGGAAAAGTAGTCATTTTAATTATAGCTCTTCTGCCAAACAGTGACATGCTGCCATGACTTAAATTCTGCTTTGATCTTTCACAAGAAAAAATGTTGTTCCTTTCTGGATCTGTTTGAACTCTAGTCATTGATGTGATCTATTTTGTGAGGCTTCTCTAAAATGGAAAAGCAAAGGACTTTGCTTCCATACTTCCTGATTAAACCTTCAAGGTGGGCTGTTTGCTCCAGGGAATGATGCCTTCTGTACTCATAAATGTGTGCTCATTTATGCACCGAAGACTGTTGAAGGTCAGCAGAGTAACCAGTTGGATCACTACATCTCTGATGTAGTACCTCATCAGTTGGAGCACTTCAAAGTCTTAATCCAAGTAAAGTGGCCTTTTAAAGTGTTTGAGATTTTACACGGACTGAAGAATTAACATTCTTTAATTGATGTGAATTCTTTGTAGTTTTTTTTCTCAATTACACTTAAACATTTGGACTAATGTATAGCCCAATATATTCTTGAAAATGTTTGTAGTTATTTAACTTGAGAAATTTACTAGAAATAGTCCATATAAATGGTTACAATCCTGATGAAAAATATGTTAGATTGCCTTATCAGTCAGGCTGTATTTAACAACCTGGGTCTGTAGGAAGATGTTTTAAAAGTATAGCTTCTAGGGACAATGGATGATATTAATATGACAACAATAATAATCTAGACTATGTGTTTATATTTTTGTTTTAACAAAAATATATTTTTGTTTTATTTTTGTTTTTAACAAACCTAACAGCCAACCAATTAAACAAGTAAATTCTTTTAATTTGAAAGTCCAGAAAAATTAGATGAATTGGATGGAATGTTGGAAAATACAAATAGCACAGACTTTTAAATTACCTTCTGACTCCCTTTTTCAAGTATCTGTCTCATCAGAAATCAATATGGAATAACTAAGAAGTGGACTTTCTTAGTTATTGAGCCCTGGTTAGTACCTTCCAAAGATACAAAGCCAACATTTTATTTTTAGGCTTGAAAATGTATTCTTTAAATTTAGCTCTGGTTTTTGTATACTGAACTATATTGCAATTACTTATTTTATAAATCACTCTGGACTCTGGAAAGGCAATATACATTTATCTTAAATGAATAAATGAATTGGTGGGATAATGACGGGATGAAAAAAAAATCACTCTCTCTCTCTCTCTCTCTCTTTAAAATAGATTCCTTAGATTTTGTGACTGAATGGCTGCAAGAAGCCATGGTTGATCTACAGTCCAAAGTTGCCTGTGCTAATAATAATGATGCTGCATCTGCCAGTAAAGTTCCTGCACTGAATCCTGTTGCTGTTCAAAATCATGCATATATCCAACTACTCAAGTGGAATCATCTGCAGAAACCTTTTCCAGAAGTAACTATATCTGTAATTTCTGAAGTCTAGATAACTGTGTGGAATCTTAGAACAGATTTTAAATCAGCCTTGTTCTTAACCCCTCCTGTTAAGGCAATGAAGAATTTAATCCAAGAATGTTGTGTAATGGAGTTTGTCTTTTGTAAAGGAAAAGAAAAATCTCCATCATATTAAACTTGAAGTTTCTTTTAGTTTGTTTACATTAGGATATTGGGATCATTGAAAGCCTTTTAAATTAAATTGTATTACACTTAAAGAGTTGATATGTAGAATGTTGAGTATTATATGTTAATTAATGTTAACATTTTAGAGCTTTGTTTGGATCTTTTGCTGGTAACTGGATTGAAGAAGACATTACATATTTGACTTGACTATTGTTAAGAGATAGTTTATTGGATGAAGAGTTTTATATTTTTAGGTAAGAGGCTGCAAAGAGGTTGTGGAATTGTTTATACTTGCATTGAAGATGGGGAGAAGTCACTTACTTGGGAGTTCTTTTTACACTTCTTTTTCTTGCATTTTTTTCTCTTCTAATTTGTATCTTTTATTGCTCTAAAACAGGGGTCCCCAACCACCGGGCTGTGAGCCATTCAGAACCGGGCCCCGGAGCGGCAGGCAAGCATGCATGCACATCCCCACTTGCATGAGTGTACGTGCCCACCGCTTGACGCAACTGGAGCTGTGCACACACGCTTGCCAGCCACTCATGGGGGACCCTCCCCTCTTTCCCCCCTCTGGTCCGCAAAGCCGAAAAGGTTGGGGAATTCTGCTCTAAAATTTGTAATAAAATTATTTTTAAAAAAATGAAAAATAAGGCTCCATATGTATCTAATAAATAAATGTATCTTCATGGGAAAAAATAATTATTATTCTTCATTAGAGAGCAAACCTATGTGAAATTACATATAGATGATATTTATACTGGATCCTTTATTTTCACAGAGAATTAATTGCCTTTTTATTATTGTGTTTCTTGGAGTTTTAAGAAAAAGGCTATACCTTCACAAAAACAGTGCATCTGAGACAATGGAATAATTTAATAGCAATATCAGTAAGCTTACTGATTATTTGAGAAGCTGCTAATACTTGTGCAGTTCAAAGCAGCACTGACAAAGACCTCAACAATGGGACAAATGAGAATTCAGTTTTGAGCTGTCCCAAAGGTGCTTTTACAAGAGGCAACTTGACTTCCTTTGTTTTTCCTTGAAGACATTTTGCTTCTGATCCAAGCTATTACCAAAATGACACTTTGTCTTAGACATATGCACCTAACCAAATACAATGCTTACTGCATGAATCAGTTCTTGGAATGTGGTCTAGATTATATAGGTCAGAGGTTGTGGTCCCAAACTACCTAGGATTTTAAAGTTAAAACCAGAATTTATGAGTTGTATCAGTCACAGATATTGCTGTAAATAAATTAAGTTTGGATGATTCTCGAGTTGTTTTGATTGCTGTTTTGATACACAGAGCATGTCTTGATTTATGAGAAATTGCTATCTATATTGGTTTCCGTACTAATCAGCTAATTAAAAACTGGAACATTCTGTTCATTGGTATATGAACTTTGCACAAAATGATTTAACTACAGCAGATTTACAACCTCGGGATAAGTGATGGAATCTAATATCTTTTATAATACTGTGAACCTGGCAGTGTTCAACTTTCTCATGATTTTTAATTGAAGAAACTGAATGGGATATTATAGAGAAGTGTATCTTGAATTGAGATATAATAGTAATTGACCAGAAGGAATTATACAACTTTTGATCCTTTGGTCTTGTGTAATTTTACATTTGCTTTTCTTCTTATTTCTCTGAAAATTATCTGGAATAGTTTGGAAGTCAACTGTATTAAGAACTCTGAATAAACCTACTTATGTTAGGCTATGAGTTCTCCAGCATGGAAGGAATGTAGAATCCATGCATGGGTATTAGAAGTCCTCTAGCCCAATCAGACCAAAGAATCAAAATTGCCACACCCCTGCTGGGCCGGACCATGCCCCAGTTTCTTTTTGGTCTCAGCCCAGAAGAGACGTGTGCACTTTGGTTCCCGGTTTGAAAAAAAGATTTAGAACAGGTAGTATTTGCCTTTACTTATTGTGTGGATTCTTCGTTTCTTTGGCCAGATAGCCAGCGCTGGGCTCAGTGCTGAACTAGCTGGCAATTAGATTGCCTTCCTTGCTGTCAGCAAATTCGCCGCTGCTCAGCTGATCGGTGCGATCGCCGCTTCCTACGCAGTGCGGCGATCGGCTTTTCTTCTGTAGTCTTTACTGTTTCCTTTTGCCTTGATTGATTCTGCCGGTCCCTCTTCTGCTGTTTTCTCCCACAGAATTTGTTTTCTTTTGCTTTTTCTTTCCTCCGGTCCATCGCAGGCGCCATTTTGAGGCTCGCTGCACTTTTGCTTTCATTTTTCCTTTCCTCCGGACTGTCGCAGGCACCATTTTGGGGCTCGCCGCACGATCGTTCCCTTCCCAGATGATTTCAGTTATCTATACCGTTCACCTCCCTCTGCAGTCAGGGCAGTTGGACCCTTTCCCTACAATTGACCAGCAAGGGACAATGTTTTTACTAACCTTTGCTGGGGGTATAGGGGCTCCTATATCCCTCATTGTGTCCCAGGCCCTGCGCTTCCAGGATCGCGGACATCATTTTAGGCTACCACGTGGCTGATAGTGGAATTCCAGGTTTCATTCTTTCTCCTGTTTCATTTTCATCTGAACCTAGAGGTTTCATTTGACACATACAGTGTTAAACACTTTCCAGATTCCAGCCTGCTAGATTGCCCCAACATTCTATTATAATAAATTGGGTTGTTTCTTACCTTACCTGTTTCCGCTGTCTGCATTTAGTGGTCTGGCAATTGCTGTCCTAGCCGCCACTAAGTGACACACGAGGGTCATCCATTAAAAAACTAATAAAATAAAATAAAAATACAATTAAATAATAACAACTCAATTGTTTACAGTACTAAGAACCAAGGACACTGAACAATTGAAACGAGAGAGGGCAGCTCCCTTGGGTGGCGCGCAACTTACATCACGCAGTGTGACTCCGCACTTAACGGCGGGCCGGACTTCACAAACTCTTGTGTAGGCCTATACCACCTAGCTGGGCCGTAGCCTCATCTCCTGCAGACCAGGACAGCTTCAGAGATCTTCTGGAAAACTCCTGTTTTTTATTCAAAATGGCAGATAATACTGTTCCACAGGCATCCACTTCCAGTGGAAATAAGAAACACAAGTCACCCAACCAAGAAGCGGCAGCAAAGGTCAAGGCCAAGACTAAACGGGCCTCTAAGATGGCAGAAAAGCAGGCAAGTAGCAGGCATAGGGCTTTGGAACGACAATTTTCCAAGGCCCAACAACGTGCAGTGGAGGTCCAACCATCTTCTACTCCCCCCCTTACATCTACAACAGAGGGCCCATGACCCTCACCCTTTGCACGGGTTTGGTCCCCTGAACAAGCCCTAGGAGATGGTCCCTTACTTGGATTCAACCGGGATCACCTTTCTCTTTTTGAACAAGATCTGAGGATGCAGGTTCAAGATCCGGTTCCGGCCACCGAAATCATCTCTCCCACAGTGGCTTGTGGAACCCCGGGGTGTTTCTCTATTATGCCTCAGATTCCGTCGGTGTCTTTCACTTCTACAGCGGCGGGTCTCAGGTCCCCAGAGCAACCTTCCTTTACTGTTCAGCTCCAGGCCATGATTTTGCAGGCAGTGGCTCAAGCTTCTGCGAAGGCCCTACTGATCCCAGGGCCGTCAAACCCCCCTCCGTCTACGGGGATTGCACGGCCCAGGGATTACGAGTTCCCAGATCCAGCATCACCACCGCATTCTGGCAGCAGCGAGGTATCCGAATATTCTGAGCAGGTCCTCAAAGAGGTACTGTGGTCAGATGATGAGGACACCCCCACGGAAGCCACTCCTTTGGTAGGCGTGTTCAATCCTTTCCCTTCGCTTTTACGCAAGGCCTGAGTCACCAGAAAGATCGAGCCAGTGAAATCCCAATTAGGATTAGGATTCTGGCCAGAGTAGTGATCTGCTGTTTTCGGAACCAGTCACAAAGAACCAGTAGATACTTTGCCCTTCTATGTTTTTGAAATCAGTTCAGGATCAATGGGGTTCTCCTGGCATCTTCTCGGCCCTTGGGGGAATAGACTGCAAAGTTTTAGATACGGTCTCTACTCTCAATGATGTGCTGGAGGTCCCGGGAGTAGACTTTTCTCCCATCTTGTCAGATTGCAAGATCCCGGGGGATGTGTCCGAGACTCTGAAGGCTGAGGACAAAAAATCCGAGGTTTCTTTCCGTAGAACGCACCAGGCCTCGGCTTGGACGATAAGAGCTTCCACATCAAACTCCTTTTTCGCCAGGATTTCACTGATGTGTCTTCGCGAGCTTCAGTCCAGGATCTCCCTGGACGAGGTAAGAGTACATCAGGATGTCACAAAATTACAGGAAGCACTAGAGTACATGGCGGATGTGTCCTTGCAATCAGCCAGATTTTCGGCCGGTGCCATAGCCTCTAACGTAGCAGCACAAAGGTTATTCTGGCTTAAGAACTGGCGTGCCAACACTAGGCACAAATGGAGGGTGGCTGCTGCCCCGTATCAGAGTGGTCGCCTCTTTGGGGAGGCCCTCGCTCCTTACCTGGTGGAAAACAGGGAAAAGAAGAGAGTACTCTCTCATCTTTTCAAAAGAACAGGCAGGCGTTTCAATCCATATAACCGCCGTCCCTGCTTTCGGGCAGGCTCCGACCAGGCTTCGGGGAGCGTATCTAGGCCCTTTCCAGCAGGGCCAGACCGTTCCTTGGACCGGTCCGGCTACAGAGACAGGCCAAAACTACAATTTCAGAACAAGCGACCATTTCGTAGTAGGGGAGGTCGTCCCTTTCGTAGGTCAAAATGACTCGGAACGGACTCCTCCCATAGGCGGCAGACTGGTTTATTATTTCCACAAGTGGGAAGAAACACCACGGACACTTGGGTTCTCACCATCATCAGGGATGATCTGTCCCTGGAGTTCTTAACGCACCCCCCTTGGTGACTTACCACCTGCCCCCTGTCACGAAATCCCATAAAACAGGACCTTATGAAGGAAGCCATTCAACATTTACTAAACATAGAGGCCATAAAGCAGGTACCGTTAGACCAATTGGGACAGGGGTTCTACTCCATCCTCTTCGTGGTTCCGAAAGCCTCGGGGGGATAGAGAGCGATACTCGATCTCAAGGTCCTAAATTCATACTTAGTGTATCACAAGTTCAAGATGCAAACTCTTTGCTCCATCTTGGCCAGCATTCGTCAGGGGGATTTCCTGACGTCAATAGATCTTACAGAAGCATACCTTCATATTCCCATACGTCCGGGTCACAGACAGTTCCTCAGATTCATGTATTCCAACCATCATTACCAATACAAGGTCCTGCCATTCGGACTATCGTCAGCCCCCAGGGTCTTCACCAAAGTCCTGGCAGTTCTTGCCGCACAGCTCAGGTTGATAGTGGTCTGCATTCAGTGTTATTTGGATGACATTTTAATACAGTCCTTGGCACTGGATGCTCGGTCGGACATGGCACTAATGGTCAAGACTCTTCAGGATCATGGGTTTTTGATCAACTTCCAAAAGAGTCACTTGACTCCAACTGTTGCACGTAGGCGCAATAATAGATACGAACCTGTGCCAAGTTTTCTTATCTCAGGAACGTCAAGTCAGCATACGCACACTGATCCTCAAAGTGCGCAGGGACAAATGGGTGACCCTAGTCCTACTCTCACAGCTGTTGGGGAAACTGATTTCATGCATTGCCATAGTGCCCTGGGCCAGACTCCATGAGACAGCTCCAGTGGTTTTTGCTTCCCTACCAGAGGCAAGGCGTAGCCTGCTTTCCCCAGAGGATATGGGTCCCAGCACAGAAGCTCACATCCCTTCTCTGGTGGCTATCCCCGGCTTTGTCCAAGGGATCCCTTTTCAGAGAACCAGTTTGGGTAACCTTGACCACGGACGCCAGTCTATTCGGATGGGGGGTACACCTCCAACTTCAGTTTGCCCAGGGCCAGTGATCTCAGCGGGACCTCAAACAAAACATCAACTGGCTAGAACTCAGAGCTATACACCTGGCACTTCGCTTCTTCCACAAAATGATTGCGGGTTGCCACGTCTTGGTCCTGACGGACAATGTGGCGGCAAAGGCCCATGTAAACAGACAGGGCAGAACTCGATCTCGGGCCCTGATGCCCGAGGCTCGGCTACTGAGATCATGGGCAGAGCGGAATCTTCTGTCTCTGAAGGCGGAGCACATCTCAGGGGAAGCAAATCGGCAGGCGGATTACCTGAGTCACTGCACGGTCAATCATTCAGAGTGGCGCCTGCATCCCCGCCTCTTCTGGGAGATCACACATTGGTTCGGGCTACCCGACCTCTTTGCTTCCCCAGCGAACGCCCAACTTCCCCGGTTCCTCTCTCGGTTTCCCTCTCGGGTCAGAAGGGGCAGATGCCCTCCGCAGTCCTTGGCCGGAGGGATTACTATATGCTTTCCCACCTTTCCCTCTGATTCCGGCTGTCATCAGAAGGCTGTTGCAGGAGCAAGCGGAGCTGATATTTGTGGCCCCTCACTGGCTGAGGCGACCATGGTTCGTGTATCTTGTGAACCTCGCCGTAGCTCCTCCGTGGAGAATTCCTCCAGAGCGGATAATCTTGACACAAGGAGTCATATAACATCCGGACCCGCAGTGGCTCCAATTAGCCACCTGGCATCTGAACGCCAGTTCTTGACATGGGGATCTTACTCCCCCAAGAGTAATATCAATGATTCAGGCTTCTAGGCGGCCAGCAACAGATCGGATTTACGATGCCGCCTGGAGAAACTTCTGTCACTGGTGTAACCGCAGTAGTTTGCCAATTTCTTCTGTCACTATCCCGAGGATACTAGAGTATCTTATGGACAGCATGGATATGGACTTAACTCCCAGGGCGCTGCGATATTACCTTGAGAGGACTGCTCCTTTTCGTAAATCTGAGGCACTCTTTGTCTCCTTCCGTGCGTGGTCCAAAGGTCAGAAGGTTTCTTCTTCTACTATTGCTCGGTGTATTAAGGCCTGCATTACAGAGTCATACCAGGTTTGCTCCTTGCCAGTTCCAAGCAGTCTAACGGCTCATTCCACGCGCAGTGCTTCCACATCAGCTGCGTGGCAAACTCAAGCTTCTATAGTTGACATCTGTAGGGCGGCGACATGGTCATCTCCTTCCCCTTTCATCTGTCATTATAAGCTCGACAAATTTGCTTCTGCAGAGGCCTCTTTTGGCCGCCGGGTCTTACAACAGGTGGTCCAATCCGGCGCCAACACTTGACCGGTCTGCGTCCCACCCGTGGGGTCATATGGCTTTGGTATATCCCATGTGTGGATTCTGCATTCCTTCCATGCTGGAGAAGGGGTGTTGTCTTACCTGAACGCCTTTTCTCATCATGAGGAATGTAGAATCCACCTGCTCCTTTCAATTCCGCAGTCAGGTCAGTGTCAGCAGTCCGGGAGCCAGCATGTCACACAATCATTGGCTTCGCCCTTTTGAAACTGGGGCATGGTCCGGCCCAGCAGGGGCGTGGCCACTTTGATTCTTTGGTTTGATTGGGCTAGAGGACTTCTAATACCCATGCGTGGATTCTACATTCCTCATGCTGAGAAAAGGTGTTCAGGTAAGACAACGCCCCATTTCTTGCTTACCACACTTTGTCATTCTTTATATTCCAAGCTTAGATCCATTTTCTGTGCTGAAAATATTTTTGCAGACTGTGTTAATGGACCAAAGCCGTTTCCAGGAAATGCAGCTGGAATTGGACCAGCTTATTCTGATTGGCGCTATTCTTCTGGTCACATTCAATGCAGCAGGCACAGCTCTTTCTGATTTGCCAGCTTTTACCAACAAGCTCAAAATGGCTATCCAAGTATTGTTGACAGGGCTACACCTTCCGTGAGTACCTTGCAGATTTTGGTCACTTATGGTATGAGGCTGAATGGTATTGACATGAAGCTTAGGCCTACTTATTTGAAAGGATCCATATATTTTCCCCAGCTTTTCTCGATAATAAAAAGCCTTACAATTATTGGGAATGTTATTCTCTATAAACCGCTTGGTAGATGTTTCTGAACTTAGAATAAGGAACCTGCTTAAAATCAGCTGACCTCAACCTTACCCAAGTTGGTCTATTTGGCCTACAGATTCTGTGTTCCCAGCCAGCCAGCTAACCTAAAGCTGCCAATGAACTCAACATGTACATTCTGAAAAATGCAGGTTTGGATTTCCCCTCCCCCAAATCATAATTAACTCCTAGTGTGAATAGGAAATGCTACTTTCCGTCACTGTCATTTCTTTATGAATTTAATTTCCTATTATATTTACAAAGCACAAAAATGATGGGACAGTTTCTACCAATGCCACTTTTCTTCTTCAAGGTTTCTTATTGGTTTTTATTTTGGGACAAGGCTTATGATTTTGCTGACAGATAAATCAGTTTTAAATTTTCATATGAGCTATTCTACTGTAATATATGGAAGCTTTTATCATTCTTTAATTCTTCTAACCTTTGTCTTTAGTTCCTTCAATTTGGGTGAAACTTTGGCTGTCATAAGCGAAAAGATTTGTGCTGAAGTTAACAGTTGCCTTTCCCAGCATGGCTTCACACCGTTTACACCTGAAAAACTGATTGTGCTTAAAGGACAAATCCAGGCTCTTGCCAATCCTGACAATGCTGTATGCAAACTGATAGGTACGCGCTATAGATAAAATGAGTTTTGTGTAATTTATAATTGTCCGCAAGTCATATTCATATTTGAGCACATGCCATAAGTTAATGTTATTTAAAAAAGGAAATTATTTGGGATAACCTTTGTGATAGGCCATCTCTTTTATATACATAAACAATTTCTTTTAGCAAAGTGAATGAACTAATGGTTTTAAAAAATTAAGCAGCTTATCCTAGGATAATTGCAGATATATAAAAAACATATATATTTTATATCTTTGGATGCAATTGGGACACAAAGATGCATTGCGATGTTTGGCGTAAAAAGACAATTATGCTGAAGGAACTTTTATTATTTATTATTGGGGTAGATTTCTTGAATCAAAAGGCAGCAGAATCCTTTAATTTATTTGACACATAAGTTTAGTTTGGCTCTAGATAAATTAACAAGATAAATTACGACTTTTTAAGTTGTCTTACTAACTCTCTTTTTTTTCTCAAGATTCAAGGATCCAGTTGTTTTTAGAGAATTACCTTGCTTGTGGTCATCAGAAATCGCTTCCTCCTGTGCTTGGTGGATTGGGCCCAATTCAGAGAGAGCTGGAGGAGATTGCTATCAAGTATATTCGCCTTGTTGACTACAACAAGTTGGTTTTCAGTCCTTATTATGATGCAATTCTCAGCAAAATATTGAATAAAGAGTTTCCTTAGCTGTGAAGAAACCTGAAAAATGCCAGATCCATTTGTATGCAGTCCCTCAACAATAGGGCTCCAGTCCAGGACCAGAAGGCTGTTTTAGTCTGCTTTTACTCTTTTTTGGTCAGAATTATAGGCTGGAAAATGGAAGCTTCCTTCAGAGACCCGCTGTTCATTTAGGATCTCCACAATCAGTTCTGTCATGCTCTGTACCCTTCTGTGTCACCTCTCCCTACACAGCCGACTGCTATTGAGAGGCTTCTCTTTAAAACATTACTTGGGGCAGATACATTAATGCATTTAGGGTAAAATGCAGTATCTCAAGAATTGTGCTGCTCACGCTCCATGGGACTTTTCCAGAAGTCCCCAGCATGGTTCACTTACATCACCGCATTCCACTTGTTCCTTTCAGCCAGTAGTTTAGGAATACAGATAAGTTTAGGAATCAAGTGATTTGCTGTATTCTGTCAAAGTGGAATCATACATGGAAAAAAATTGTGAATCTATGCTTGGATATTGTTGCAGGCTCACTGTGGTTACCTTTCATCTATTGAAGAAACATTGAAACCTTTAAAGAAACAGCTTTCCTAACAAAAATTTCCAAATAATTCGATAGCAGTGATCAAATATTATGTAAAATATACATAAAATATTTTGGCTTGGTATGCAGTATAACCTTATTAGCCATAATGGCCATTGAAATTTCCACATATTCAGAGTTTGAATATTGGTAGTTAAAGCACTTTATATGTATTCTGCGAGCCAAGGCTCTTTTGTGTTTCTGCGAGCCATGGTTTTCTATAGCATTTGTTTCTGTACCGGCAGATACTTGGGCAAAATCATATATTTTTGTAGCTTATTTTCCAATTCTTTATTTCCCTATTCATAAGAATGCTATCCTGTAGGCTCAAGGAAGTATTTTTTTTTTTTACCTGTGAGAACTCTTTTGAAAAGAGCAGTTTCTCAGTTTTCTATTAGTGTAGTTTTTCTCTGCAGCAAATACAAACGAGACCTTGAATAAGAATTTTTCACCAGATATAAAGAGAAAATGAAAGGAGGTTTTAACCATTAAGAAGGAAATAAAAATGATAATCTCAGAGAACAAGTAAATAATTTCGTAGTTTCTTAGTTTTATATTAATGTAGTATAAAATGCTGCTAAAGACAAGCATACCTTTATAGCTGAAGCAGTTGAGTAAGATCGGTCCACTGAATGTTATTGAATATTATTTACATATGGAAAGTTTGGGATTAGAAGAGAAGACCGATTATAGTCCTAATTTATATCCTCCTTAGTAGTGAAAATATGAAACTTCTAGTTCATTTGCTTTTTTAGTTGCAAATACTGGGATTAGTGCACCTATCTATCTAGATCAGTGGTGGTGAACCTTTGGCACGGATGCCAGAGGCAGCACTCAGAGCCCTCTCTGTGGGCACGTGCACCGTTCCCCCAGTCCTAGGCCTTCAGCTGGGTTTTATAAAACCTTGCTTTAGGCCTCCACTGTCGTGTGCCAAAAAAAAAAGTTCAACCAGTCAGTTTCAACTTCTCGCGGGAAAAAGATCTTGCAAAGTTGGAATTGATTGATTGAATTTTTTAGTCCCATCCAGTCTGCCGCTACTACTGCAGCCACGCCCACCCAATTGGCCACGCCCACCTGGCACTCGACGATGCATAAGTGGGTTTTGGGTTGCAGTTTGGGCACTCAGTCTCTAAAAGGTTCGCCATCACTGATCTAGATGATAGTAGACAGAAATGGATTCAGTCTCACCTTCCCTGTTAGGCCCGCAGCACAGAATTTCACATGCTCAGATCTGACTCTGCTTAATCCATAGGGAAAAAAGATGCTTCTATGTATTCATTGCTCTTGCTCAGTTGGATGTAAAACATTTATTGATTTATGTGTTACATAAACATGTAAAAGTTTATGTTTATATGATTCAGATGTTAAGATTGTTAAGATAGTGCATTACTTATACAATTATATTCCAATACATTTATTGAAATCTGCTTGGCTACTTTAAAAACTAATTTCAAGAATTCATAAACATGAAACAATATGAGTTTTTGAGAAAATAACTGGGTTTCCGAAGCAGAATTACTGGTGGATTGCTTTCCAGTGTTGAAGTTTAATAAAATAAAGTCTATTTATTTATTGTATTAATTAAGGTAGCTGACCTAAAAAGTGTTATGTGTTAGAATGAAAGTTAAATTCAAAAAACGGATATAATAAAGCACAGAGGTTTTAGTTGGAAAGATGGATGCAATATGGTGTCATCTGTTAAATACAACTGAGCCTTGTCAAATAGCAAAAGCTTATAGGGTGGCAGATCTCAGATTTTTCACTTAAATAATCCTTTTAATTATTAGAATTTCTTAAAAACAAAATATCTGATCATATTCTAAACTAAACAATAATTGGTCTGACATAGCTTTATTAGATTGTTTTATTGACTTTTTAATAATTTCTTTATTGATTGTTGTGAGCTGCCCAGAGATGCTGGGAATTAAGTGGTATGCAAATTTTAATTTATTATTTATATTATGTCTGGTTGCACAATCAGCCAGATGTTTAGAATGGATTTGGTATTTATTTATTTATTATTATTATTTCTATGCAACATGTTCAGTATATATCATTGAACACCTTGTGAAGGGTTAGTTTTTTAGTTAAAGAATATTCCTGTAAATGCCTTCCTTTTGAAATTTGATGCCTCAGAATTTTAATAAGCAAAAAATAGGAGTCCAAATATTTTATGTAAACAAGCAGTTTAAAACTTAATATTGCTAACATTAAAAGAAAGAATGGTCAGTAACTCTAAAGCCAAACCTAATCATTTAATCTCACCAATTGTGGAAATTAACCCTTACGTTAAACCTAGACTCCAGATTCTTAGCTATTATCTGATATTTAAATTTACCCATCCACCAATTTTATTGCTATAAGACAGAAAGCAATTGAAAAACCCTTATTGGTGGAAATTTAGTGTTTTATCAGAATTGTCTGATATGTTTGTATTTATGGGAATTTTTGAATTGTTAATATGCAAGCTTGATGTTTTCCCTCAGTGTTGCTGCCACCTATGCTGTATGTGCATCTTTAATATGAGATGGTAATTCATCTGTAATAAATTAATAATTTTTATGCTGTATGTTTGCTGTAGTTTCCAATAATTTATCCCATTTTTGTTGTTTTTATTTTCACCATTGTCAAACATTTGTTTTTTTCACAAATGCTTGCTTTAGGTTTGGGTTTTGCTTCATTTGTTCCCTTTAGAATTTTTATCCCCACATTAAGCTCAAAAAGAAAAACGCTGCATTAAAATAGGCAACTCTTCAAGCAACACAAGGTTTTCTAAAATGACTCCCACATTGTAAATGAAGTGACAAAGAGGAACAGGAATGACCAAGAGTCCTGAAGAACTGACATTTAATTCAGGTTTGGCAAATCCGTTCGATTGTTAAGGGTATACACCTTGTGCCTGGTGCTTGAATGGATCTTGGTGTGATAACCGTATGATTCCTGGCTTGAAGTCTATTACTCTTGCCTATAAAGCAGTGAAAGGGGATGGGAAAAAACCTACAGTGGCAGAAAAGTAGCTTTAAATCACATGCTGTGTTAATGTGCTAATCCTTAATGGCAAACAGCATTATGCATCACTGATGCTGAAGCTACAAACCACTTTTTCGTGATTATAATTGTTCTTTAATAGCTATCAAAAGGAGTGGCGATGAAATTATTCTATTTCTGATTAATACATTTTTTTCATATCCTCACAAGTGAAACAATGTCATATCTGCAGTAATCTATGTGTGCTCTCAAACCATCCAAACCAGTTCCTTTCTTCCAATTTTGTTCATGGAAAATAATATAGGGAGGCCCAAACCTCAGATTCTTCCAGCATCTCTCCACAGAGACCAAAGTTTGCGTTTCTTGTATGGAACAGATGAAGTGGAATCTGATGCTAAGTTACAAAGTCTTATTCCTCTCAAAATTACCAACAATGCATATGTTAGAGAATGTATCTTATCTTCTTCAGGGACCACAATAGTTCTATTAAAATTATAGTACACACAATAAAGAGTGACTCACTTTTTATATGAAATTTGCATTCAGATTTGCATATTGCAGGCTTCAACTTGAAATGTAAACTTCTCCTGAGTGATTTAAAAGTACTGAGAGGGCAAATAGTAGGTCATAAAGATAAATTTGATAATTAGTTGTATTGACTACAGAAATACTAAATGCTTTGCATTGTATTTAATACATTCCGTACAATTAAAGGTAATAGGCAAGTGGCAAACTAAAATCTTCTCCCTTATCTTGAAGCTAGCTTATATGCTGGAAAATAGAAGGTATCTGTAGTTATTATAGTACTTAGCATTTTTATTCTGTAATTTGAAAAATACCAGAAATATTTTCTGCATCCAGTTATTATTTATGTAACAAAAACAAAACTTAATGGGAACTATTCAGTTCAAAAGGATCTCAAACCATTTTCTATTTCTATATTTGTATAGAATTTTATTTCTATATATTTGTATTATTAGCAGACTCATTCTAGATACTTTTGTGAATTAATTTTCATGCTTTGGACAATTACCTATTTATATTTCAATGCTGTGATTAATTGCATCTTTGAATTACAAATTTCATTTCTCTTTATCAAAGTTTATTTCATATCACTTTTGTCACACATCAACTCTAAGGAAAACAATGCTTAGAAAAATAATGCGGAAGACAAACTTAAATATATACTAAGTAAACACCAACAGAACCAAAATTTCATTTCAGTATTTACCGTAGGATGATCAGTGGTTTTGAGATGCTGACAATTTTTGTATCAACAAAATTCATGAGACGTAACTTTATGGAGATCCTTTATTTGAAAGGAACATTTTTTTCTATTTTAAACTACAAAACAGCTTCCATTCATTCTGCCATAAATTAAAATGAAGAATAAGGCAGGACAGACACTACATGAGCAAAGTGAAAACAGTTTTGTTTTTCAGAAATGTGAATTTAAAATATTTCCCCATTATAAGCTTTCCAGTTTTTAAAAATAAAACTGTCAAAATCCCCACAAGAATTCAAGTGATATGTGAGGATACATCTGAAGATCAACCAAACACATGGCAAACATTTTGCACAGTCTGTGTTCCAATGTGTAGTTGCTGCCAGAACTCTCATCTGCCTTTTTCCTTTTCTGATGAAAAAAACGGCTGGTAAAAAAGAGGCACCACAGTAACAAAACAACCTCAGTTGCAAGATGCATGTTAGAAACTTTCAATTCTTTTTAAACATTTGATTTGTTGAAAGACAAAATATTACAAGTCCTTTATTTTCACAACTGAATTTGCAACATGCCTCATCGGATTCGCTTCTGTTGTCGTGCTCTGTAAATATCGTGAATTGGAGGAACCACTGACCCCTTTTCCTCGTCGTCATCTGAATCTTCATTTGGTCTTTTGACAGATTTATTGAGAAGGGCATTATTTTCCAAAGGTCCATTCCCTTCCATTGAAAGGTCAGGTAAGCCTCCTGTAATAATCCGTACAGCTTCATCCACAGCTTTGGAAGAGGGAAGAAAAGAGTTCATTTTGTAGAAAAAAAGTTTGCTCGATAGTTGTGCACATATACATGATCTATATTCAGAGATACTATAAATACATCCATCAGTAATTACTGAGAAAAGAATAGAATACTGTCAAATATTTTTGCTCAAACGGCCACCCCCCCCAAAATTAAGGATGACTTTATATAACACCATTATTTAAATATGAAAAATATGCATGAAAATGATGATATGGTCAAAATACTCACTTGCCTTATAATTATGCACACTATAGATCTGGTGGTCACCATATAGTGTGCATAATTATTAGGCAAGTGAGTATTTTGACTGTATCATCATTTTCATGCATATTTTTCACTTCCAAGTTGTAGAAACTTGAATGCTTAGTGAATATAAGCATATCAGGTGATGTATATTTGTGTAATGAGGGAGGACGTGACTTAAGAAGATCAACACCCTGTATCAAGGTGTACATAATTATTAGGCAGCTTCTTTTCCTCAGGCAAAATGGGCCAAAAAAGAGATTTAACTGACTCTGAAAAGTCACAAATTGTAAAAAGTCTTTTAGAGGGATGCAGCACTCTTGAAATTGGGGCGTGATCACAGAAACATCAAATGTTTCGTTGCAAATAGTCAGCAGGGTCACAAGAAACATGTTGAGAAAAAAAGACGCACATTAACTGCCAAAGATTTGAGAAGAATCAAACGTGAAGCTACCAGGAACTCATTATCCTCCAGTGCTGTCATATTCCCAGAACTGCAAACTATCTGGAGTGCCCATAAGTACAAGGTGTTCACTGCTCAGAGACACGGCCAAGGTAAGGAAGGCTAAAACCCAACCACCAGTGAACAAGACACATACGTTGAAATGGCAAGACAGATTTTTCAAAGGTTTTATATGGACTGAAGAGATGAGAGTGACTTTTGATGGACCAGATGGACGGGCCTGTGGTTGGATCAGTAACAGGCACAGAACTCCACTTCGACTCAGATGCCAGCAAGGTGGAGGTGGGGTACTGGTATGGGCTGGTATTATTAAATAAGAGCTAGTTGGATCTTTTCAGATTGAAGAGAGACTCAAAATCAACTCCCAAACCTACTGCCAGTTTTTAGAAGACAATTTCTTCAAGCAGTGATACAGGAAAAAGTGCATCTTTCAAGAAGACTGTAATTTTTATGCAGGACAATCCTCCATTGCATGCATCGAAGTACTTCACTACATGGCTAGCCAGTAAAGGCCTTAAAGTTGAAAGAATAATGACATGGCCCCCTCCCTCACCTGACCTAAACCCTATTGAGAATTTGTGGGCCCTTCTTAAATGGGAGATTTACGGTGAAGGAAAACAGTATACTTCTCTGAACAGTGGACACTGTGGTTGCTGCTGCACAAAACATTGATCGTCAACAGATCAAGAAACTGACAGACTCCATGAATGGAAGGCTTATGACTGTTATTGAAAAGAAGGGTGGCTGTATTGGTCACTGATTTTTTGGTTTGAAATATCAGAAATGTTTATACATTTTGAGTTGTTCTCTCTTTAACAGATGCAAATAAATGAATGAGATGGGCAAATTTTCATTTTTCATTTAGTTGCCTAATAATTCTGCGCACTAATAGTTGCCCAATAATTGTGCACACATATTCTCCTAAGAAAGCCAAAACCTCACTTTTACTTTCTTAAATATTCAGCTTTCAGGTTTATTAACATTTTGGATTGACCAAGAGCAGTGTAGTTGTTCAATAAGAAAACTAATCCTCCAAAATACAAGCTGTCTAATAATTGTGCCCATAGTATATAGTTTCCCATTTTCCAAATACAGATCTATCCAGTTTCTCTAAGAACAGTCAAGCCAATCTGGTGAAGTTCCATTATATCACCAGCCTTGAATCCATTGCTTAGGAAAGCAGGTATATGGGATGAGTGGGGAACAAATACTCTGATATGGAACAGGTACAACACAGGTGATAATGTACTACCACCAGATATTTCCATAATGGGGGCCAGAGGCAAAACAACTTACTGTCTGGAAGTTTGCATCTTCTGACAATCTCCATGAGTTCATCCACTTGCACAAATGGACCCTGCACAAGAAAAAAAGATAGGCCATTTAATAGAAATATTGTCATTAAAGCATGACAGTTCAATAAATGTAATATTAATGAAATGAACTACTAAACTGCAAAGTCTTCAGAAGATTTCATTACAACTAACCTGAAAACACACAGGAGGTGGAAGAAGTTTCATTAGAACTACGGCAGCAGGTGGAACAGGGAAAACACCACCAGGAACTGGATGTAAACCTGGAGCTAGAATATAATAACACAAAAATAACTCTTAATGGTTTTATAGCAAAAGTAAAAAGCCTTGATTGGAGCTTTGTTTATTTTGGAGATGAATCGCAGTGAATAAAAATCTGAGATTAAACGATTTAACTCAAACTCAAGAGGTTGCTACACGCTCTTAAATGAATACATGTGTAAGAGTGAACTAGAAAAACATTTTTAAAATAAAGTTTCAGTCAGAATATAGCAGAGAATTTCCCTTTTTATATTGACAAAATTTAGCAATCAGCTTACGTGCTAAATGTCTTGGTTGAAATGGAATCATCTGCTGGGTATCTGGTTTTGGATATTCTGGCTTTCTGTCTCCTTCATCTTTTAGCACAGGGACTATTGAAGGTGCCACTACAGGATCTGGAATTATGGTTGATAGCTTTGCACGAGAGACATCCTGGAAATCATATTGCAAGAAAAGCGTTAATGAATTCACATGAATTCATGTGACTAAATAAATAAATAAATTCTTTAAATTATGAAAGAGTACAATGGACATGACGTAATGTCCTCTGTTAACTTACCTTATAACCAAGAGCTTTGAGTTCACTGGCAGAACAAGGGTACAGATCCATGAATTTATACCTGTCTACCAGCAAAGCTGTTTCTTTGCCCTCATATTCTTCCTTGAAAGCTGTGAACCTTCGTTTTTCAACTTTTAATATGCTAGCCAAGTCACCAATATTGCTTTCAAAAGCTAAAAATCGAGCCCATATTTCTCTGTATAAGAAAATACCAAAAAGAACAAATAACCCAGTGACAATTAATTTATATGCCCAACAAGAGACAGAAACCATGCTTATTTAAGCATATTCTAACTACACCGACTAAAATAGTACCAATGTCTTTTGCAACTGTTCAATAACCAGCAGGTTTCAAGTCCAATTTACTGCAAGACTCACCAGTTTACATGTTTACTAAAAAAATAATCTTTTATGTGTTAGTGGCTTGCTACTAATTAACTATGTCTTTGTTTGAAAAACTATTTTAATGTTAAATTTATTGTATTCAAATACCAGCCATTTTTTTTTTCTTATAATGAAATGCCACAACAATTGCCCACTGGTTAATTTTAGCTGCCTCCTTTTTCTAGAAAATGTTCATTTTAGATTCAGAAAAAATGACAACTGCGTTTATTCTATAAGCTGCTCTAGTAAGGAGGGTCAGTCAAAAGAAATGATTTTGTACTTAATGTTGATTCAGGTTGAATGGCAACCAGTCAGTTTATGTATAAAGAGGGGCCATGGTGGAAGACCTCTTACAAGTGAAATGAAAACAATATGAGTTGCATGCACAGATTGTACAACAATTCACTACATTTAGGAGCAAAATGGCAGACAAAATATTTATTTACCAAATTTAGACCAATGTAATCCACAAATGTACATTAACTCCCCAGCAGTTTGGTCCCCCAAAATAGGCTCCAAGTGGAAATCATTAGTTAAAGGGAATAGTTTTCAGTGAGTAAAAACAGATGAGTTGGGGAAGAATGTAAGATGAAAGCCAGGAAAGAGGTATGATCATTCATTTATGAATGTTCGTATTAATCAATTTTATACACCAGCCATGCCACTCTACAAGTGACTTTTGCAGAAAACTCATTGCTGTAGTTTTCAAAGAGTAGACACAGATGAGATGGGGAAGAATGTGGTTCAAAACCAGCAGAGAGGTGGAACTATTCATTCACTCATGTATCTATGTATTAATTAGATTTATATGCTGCCGATCTGACTGTCTGAGTGACTGAGAGGATTACAGTAAACTCATTTCTGATGCACGTGAATCAAAGTCCCAAAGCCAGATCAGAACACCATCAAAGCATCCAGAAAATGAATGTACGCAGAGTAGCCTACATACTTTGCTTTTCTTAATAGCTCTCTTCTTACTTACAAGTAAAGCAAAAGAGATCACTTGCAGGAAGGAGCTTTGGCAAGGCTTACCCTGACTTCTCTGGTGGAAGGCTCCCGGAAGTCAACACACGTTCAAACAGGACTCTTGTATTATTATCCTCTATTTAAAACAGAGTTTAAAAGAAAAATGAAAACACGTAAATATTTGTCTGATTTTTAAAAACAGAAAATTTTTAAGAATTATTTGTATTGAAGTTTTAAAAAACAAGGATAAAAAACTGATAAACTATGAAAAATACTGAAAAAGAAAAAAGTGCAGAGAAAAAAAGGAAAGAAAAAAAAACTGTAAAAGAAAAAAAGGAAAAAAGACAAAGCAATGATTTCCCCCTTCACCAAGACAAGTAGAAACAATTTCAGTAACTTATCACCTTCTCTATCATTTCAACCTAAAATCTCCTCATCCCATACCCTTTAAAAAAAATTATAAGAAAATCACTACAATTCTTTGAAAAATTCCTATTTATTCCACATGTTGTTTATGGACAAAACAAGATACTAATGGCTGTTTTTCCTACATAAAAGCTGAGCAAAAGAGGCTTCTCTGAAAAGAAGCGATATAAATTTAACTTTTAACTACATATTCATTACAATTAAAGGTACAGTATCACATCAGAACCCAAATCTTAACATAAGAATTTAAAAGTCAATTTACAATTATTGACAACAGCAGGGTACAGTTTATTTTTTTTATTATTATTATTTTCTGCCTATCTCACCATAGGGCTACTTTAGGATTAGAATAGCCTTTAGATTTTTTAGTCTCTATCTTCTTTAGTTTCATCTGAACATTTCATTAGTTTATTTATTCTAGATAAATTTGAAAAAATGTCATTTTTAAACTGGCTGGGAATGCTGCAAATGGCAATCAGATAACCACAGGATGCTGCAACTATTGTAAATGTGCACTGGTTGTCAAGCACTCAAATCATGATCGCGTGACCACAGGGTGACTGGGACAGCCACCAGTTTGAGGACCTTTCAGAAACCTACTTTTTCAGTGCTGATGTAACTTCAATTATTGAATTGGATAGTCAGCATGTGAGGACTCCCTGTACATTTGTCTACGAGGGGACGTTTAACCCAAAGTCTTTCCAGTTCATCTTTTTAGTTCTCTTGTTATATTCAAGCCCTCCATCAGTCTTTGCTTACACCCTCTTCAAGTCAGATTTTTCTGAGTATAATAACCGTTCTGGTACAAATCCTGATAAAATAAGCTTTTTGAAAAATAAACAAACACTAAATTTTAAAAGTCCAGTTTTTTTATAAGAATGCCTATACAATGATCAATTACCCAAAATTAGATACTCAGTTTTGGGGAAAACATTTATTTTGTTTATACAAAAATGCTTTCTAGTATTTTCACTGCATTTAGGGCAGTTATAAATGAATATTAATATTCTAGTGGAAAAAAGGCACAGTGAATTATACTCTCCAATTTAATGACTTCTCTGAGTTCCTGGGACTTACCATTCAAATGAGAAAGATAATCAATATATGCCAAGACATATTCTGGAATGTCTCCATATTTCTTCAAGCCTAGCTCAAAAATCTTAAAAGCCACTGATTTGTCCTGTGAATTTAAAAATGTAATTAGTCAAGTAAAAAATGAACCATCTAAAAAAAATGATCGAATAATTTCACTAACTATGAAGAATTACCTTGCTGCAATAATATTCCATCAGAGCAGCTGTAACATAGACATGGTGGCGGGTGCGGGCATCTTCTCGTGCTTTCTTAAATATCATTCGGCCTGATTTTATACCTTCTGCTCGCCTTGCAAACTTCATATACTGAATGTAAACCTGAAGGATGGATAATCTTTAAGCTGCAGTGCAGTATAAAGAGATCTACGCTTTATTACGAATGTGGCTTTGTTGCATATTTAAACTTCTTTATATTTTGAAATTCAAGGCAGCATATACTGTATATTGAACATCTTTTAGTTTTTAAGTATCCAAAACGTAACAACACATAATTGTCTAAATTCATATTGCTTCTCAAATTCCTTGGGGATCAAACCGAGCCCCACATAGCAAATAGCACTGATATACAATTCACTGATCAAAAGTCTTCACTAACATATTGCTCGAGTGACTGGCCCTAGAGTTGGCATTATAAGCCACTTTGCTTTTCTGCTTCTCCAGCTGCTATCCAAATTGCCAGCCACCTTTAGGGCTGTGAATGAATTGTTTAGGTTTGCTTAGATGTGAAAATGAAGTGGAATAAATCAACCTTCTTTTTTCATAATAGATAATATATAATCTCATAGTTCTGATCAGGTTTAATAATAATGATAACTAGTATGATTTACTGAAGTGGATCTGATATCTATTACTAAAGCCTGGTTGGCATGGGGAAATTCCCCCCTCAAAAAAGTGCCTATCTGGGTTTCAAGTGTAGCACCAACCATGATTCTAAGGCAAGGCAGCAGGGGGGCTATTGTCACTTGAAAGATCCTGACGGCTCTCAGAGGCTTTATTGATCAATAAGGCCTTTAGTGATTAATTGGGACTGCTGCTACTGGACCAGCTTTGCTTTCTGAACTGATCAGTGTCATAACTGGATTGGCAGTAGAGTTTCCCAGACTAAATTGAAGGACTTCAACTTGCCTCCCCTGGGTATGGGGTCAGGAGGAGCTTGGAACTTCATAGTTACTATGAAGCCATAGTTGCACCTTGAATGAATGGGTCAACAATCCTTCCAGATTGGGCTGTATCAATGTAAATTCTTTCTGCTTGTGGATCCCAGAAAATCTCCCTGGTTTTCAGAAAGCTCTGAAAATAAAATGGCAGCAGGAATCTCTAGAATACCTCTGGAGTAATAAATTCAATCAGGAATGTGATTATTTTTCTTCCCTTATTGTGTCTCTAGGTGCAAATAGCCATCTAGAACTCCTGTTCAAGGTGACTCTGTCTCTCCTAGGTAGGGATGGGCCTGAGGAATATCTGCAGGACAACTACAAAGATGCCTGAGGCAGATAAAGTCATTAAAATCCATTCTGAACTGGATTCCAGTTGTCCAGGTGCTTTGAAATTGCTTGAGGCACAGTCATGTATGGTTATATGAGAAAAGTTTAAGCCGGTTGGTCTCAAGGATGTGGACAAGGAATCTATGGCCTCCTGTAACTTACATCCATGTCCCTCCTGGCTGGTTAAGGCCTCTTGGGAGACAACCTGTGGTTGGATCCAGGCAGTGGTGAAGTCATCCTTGAGGGAGGAGATGTTCTGCCGCCCTTAAAGTGGTGGTGGTCCACCCCATCCTCAAGAAACTATCATTGGATCCAACAGCTCTGGAAGATTTTCACCCTGTCTCCAACCTTGAGAAGGTGGTAGGCTTGCAGGTCCAGAGGAACCTGGAGGAAATAGATTATCTGGACCCTTTTCTGTTGCGTTTCAGATTGGGCTATAACACTGATATGCTAGCATTAATTGCACTTGCAGTTGACCTACAACAGAATTGAGATAGGCGTGATGCATCCATCCTGACCATACTTGATCTTTCAGTAGCCCTCAGTACCATCAATCATTGTATCCTTCTGAATTAGCTTAGGGGATTGGGTATGTGGGCACATTGCTCTGTGGTTTTGTTCCTCCAAGTCAGTTCCAGTTGGTTTTGATTGGGAGAAATATAGCCCTAGATTACTAATTTTTCAAGTACTTTCAGAGCTCTACCCTCTCTTTGCTTCTACTTAACATGAAACCAGTGAGTGAAGTCATCCATCGGTATGGGTTTAAGTATCATCAGTATGCTGGTGATTTACAGCTTTACAATTCTACTCTTGGTCAATCAAATTATGCAAACAAGGTTCTTTCAAAATGTGTTTAGACTGGGGAGAGTGTCTGGATGGGAAAATAACATGTTTCAGCTCAATTTAAGCATGACTGAATGGCTGAAGGTTTTAATGCCTCCACCCCTGCCCCTGCATCTATAGACTTCCATCTTTAAGATTGCAAGGTTGCATTCTCCCAGACAAAATTAGTTGTCTCACAACTCCAAAAGTTATGGTTGCTCCAACACTGGAGGTTTTTAAGAAGAGGTTGGACAACCATTTGTTTGAAATGGTATAGGATTTCCTGCTTGACCAGGGGGTTGAACTAGAACACCTCCAAAGTCCCTTCCAACTCCGTTATTCAGTGCAGAATTTGGAGGCCCAAATTGAACTTGCAGCTTCTGAAGAGCAGAGCTGTGGGTAAAGGGCCTTTGAACAACTCCATCTTGTGCATTAATCGCATTCATTCCTGGATCTGGAGACTGTTCACTGTCACTCACGCCTTAGTTACCTGTCACTTGAATTGCTGACTGCAGCTGTACATGGCACTTCCCATGAAGACTATCCAAATGCTATAATTGCTCCAGAATGCAATGGCACGAATAGTTATGGGTGTAGCATAATGTACCCATGTAACATCACTACTTTATGAACTACACTAGCCTTCTATTGGCTTCTGAGTGCAAGTTAAGATACCAGTTTTATACCATGTTCTGGTGGTTTTATGTTTATTAGTTATCTTGTTTTACTTTTTAATCTTATTTTGGCTGCTCACTTCATATTTAATGAATTGGGACTTCATATTTAATGAATTGGGCAGCCAAATAGATTGTTTAAATAAATAAACAAATCCTTAAACATCTGAGAAAGTTTGTATCACTAGAACTTATTTTTGAATATGGTTCTTCACCTTGCTTTGATATCTATGTATGTATCCCCCCAAGTTAAATAATAACAATAACAAATTAAACTTGGATGTTACTTGACTCTCAACAACTCTGGGCAGCTCACATCAAACAGACTATAATAAAATAAATAAAAGATAAAAGACAGCTAGATATTATGAAAATCTTATTTTGTTTTTTGGTAACCATCTTTTTCTGCTAGGATATTCCAGTATTCTTGATGACCCTAATGCTATTAATGCAAATGAAATTATTGCTAACAGCATTTCTACTTGCTATTCTATTTAAACACATTTTGAAACAATGTGTAATATTTTTCATATTTCCATAATTATAAGCACAGCAACATAACCTTTATCACAATGAGAAAAAAGCTGAAATAACATATAATTGATTATATAAGCACAAAGAAATGATAAAAAAAATGCCACTGAGAGACCTAAGCCAAGAGAATCGAAGTTGGACAAACTGCAATTATTTGATAGTTGAAGTATTATAGATCAAACATACCAAAGTGGGATCAATGTCTTCAATAGCCAAGAGTCTATTATATATGCTGTGTACTTTCTCATATTTCATACGACTCTACAAAAATTAAAAAAATATTTGATTAGTTTAGGCCCAAAGTGATCAGCATAATAGTTCGACTATATTTTTATGGAGATTACATTCTCTAACCATAGGGAGGATTTCATTAACGTTTGAGAGAATAGACTTCCAGTTTTGCGTCGTGGTGAGACGGGACGCAGGAAGGCAAAGCTCTGCCTTCCGCGCCCGATTTTGCAATGCTGGGGGCCCTGAAAAGGACCTAAAGTCACCCCAAAGAGGCAATGAAGGTGGGGTGCCTTGTCACTCACGGAGAGACAGCGGCCTCTCTGTTCAATCCAAGAAAGCCCTCTAAACAAGCAGGGGAAAGACCGGCCACACCTCTGCGGCTGGCCATTAGATGCTGACAACCGAAGAACAAAAGCTTTAATTAGCACATCGTAAACAGCATGTTTGGACTGGGTGAGAATATTGATCCTTTCTTTGCTATTTTACAACTGAACTTCCTGAGAAAGGCTCCCAAGAAGCTTAAAACCTCCGGATGTGAACAGAAGCGGCATTTTAAATTTTTTTATGGGGGACAGAAATACACAATACTGAAGTGAAAGTAATACAAAGTTAGTTTTGATAAATCTGAGAACTGAGATAAATTGTTAAGATTTTCTTTTCGGAAAAAAAGATTATTGAGATGAATTATAAGAAATATAAGAAATCAACTCTTTGTTTTAAGAGTGGAAAATGGACTTTGAATTACATCTAGTGGTGGATTTTAGTACAGCTCCTGTATTTAGTACATAATTAGTTCCTGAGCTGCTTGGTGAATAAATTTTTTTAGGTATATAAATGTAATTAATATTGAGAAAATCATAACTGACAAAGATACTTTAAATATCAATGGGAAATCAAACTTTAATAAGAGCATGAAAAACAGGATATTGACATGAATTGATATTACTGATACTTCTATAATATTAGTAAAATATGATGATGTCTATATCTAATTTTGTATACATCAATAGTACTACGAATTGTAATTGTTTAATGAGGGGAAAAGGGGAAAAATATGAGGAAGAAAGGAAGATCAAGGAAAAAATACTGGATTGTGCAGTACTGAATAGATTTATATTGAAGAAGTTAATGTTAAATATGTGAACCCAGACAACATGTTGTTTACTAAGCTCTAAAGATTGTAATTTTTAAAAATTAATAAAATGTATAAAAAATAAAGTTTGAGAGAATAAAGAAATTTGATTCACCTCTTCATAATCTGCATACGCAAAATAAAGAAGCATGTTCTTTTTTAATAAAGTGCTGATTGCTCTTTCATAAATATTTGCTGCTTCATCACTGAAAAGTTTAGCATTGTTCATATCCTAAAATAAGATCAAATAATGAAAAGAATTTGTCAGGCAAAATAATTAAAAAGGATAGTCAGAAAACAATTTTCAGTCATTTAAACCACGCTCACTGAAAAATATATATAATAGCATTGTAAACTTAATTGGATTGCATATCAAGAACAAGCAAATATGACTGATTTCTAATTAGATATTGGAGTTCATTTTATATATATTGGCTGCAAACATTTATGTCATGCAAGTAGTCCTTGGGTTACAATCCTTGTTTAGCAACTGTTTAAAATTATGATGGTGCTGAACAAAGGGCACTTACAACTGATTCTTCAGGTTCTGACCATTGCAACACCTCTGCAATCATGTGATCAAAATTCAGCCACAGGATAATAATTTCAAGCAAAGTCAATAGCAAAGCCAACAGATAGTTGAAAATTGCTCCCGCATCCACTGCTCTTTTGCTCACCTATGCTCTGGAATTATTATCCCATGGTATTTATGCATCTGCCCATGAACCACAATATCTGATTGCAGCCCACCCCAGTCTCCCACCCATGCACTGGAGCATCTACTTGTAGAACCCTCTGCCCCCTGGTGGAACCTCCCCAGCAGCATTAGAATATCCTCTGGCTTGCTTTCCTGGGATTGCTGCCTCTTCACGCTCTGTTCTGGGATTACAATAGAAATTGGACTGCCAAAATTGCAGTCTCACTATATGATGTGGTCACCCTTTATGACCATATCATTTAGTGATGGGAATTCCCATTCAATTACCATTGTAATCAAAGGACTACCTGTAATAAATTCACAAGACTGGTTATTTTTGTTTCCATACAAATTTTCATTTATTTAAACCTGGATTAACTTACTAAGTCAAATAGGTGTTTGTATAAGAACAGATCAATTTTAAAATAATTAACAGTCTTAATATGAAATAACAATGTGTAATAAAATACATGGGTAACACAAAGCAATGTGTTATCTATGTCAGTAGTGTACATGCAGATATTTCATCATTTTTTCTTACCCCTTTCTCAGCTAGCAGCTTGCTGGATTGTTCAAGATATTGTGCAGCTTCGTACCAGATATCAGGATGATGACCCAATACTAAGAGGCATTGTTCATATGCAAACATCACTAGGAGAAGACACAGAGACAATGCTTATTTGGCATTTTGCAAAACAAATAATTACTTATTTAAAGCACAATGTTTCACCAAGCTCCTCATTAACCAATCATGCATTGTCTGACTGAAAAATGACCTCTTATTGCCCTCCACTAAGTTTGTAAATTTGAGGGCATTCTCACAAATGTACTTGTTGTTTTGTATTTTCACTGTAGTTTTTTTTAAACATTTAAAATTGTTGGTGACCTGAGAAATATCATAGTATTTATCACACAAGGGAATCATTCTTGTATCCTGTAATCTAAGCAAAGGTAGATTTATTCTTCTATGCCAAAATGATCAGATTCTGTTTGCAAATGCCTTGCAATTCCATCATGGAAGTGATCTGGGCAGTAAGACAAGACTTAGCACATAACACAGTACTCTTGATTTAGAATCTAGACCAGTGTTTCTCAACCTTGACAATTTTAAGGCATGTGGATTTCAACTCCCAGAATTCCACAGCCAGCAATGCTGGCTGTGGAATTCTGGGAGTTGAAGTCCACATGCCTTAAAATTGTCAAGGTTGAGAAACACTGATCTAGACTCTATCAAAGTATCTGAAAAGTAAAACAAAAAAAAAAAAATGAAGTTACCTCTCTTTGTGATGAGGGTTTGGTCTTCAGTACGCAGAGGGTTACTCTTTTCCCACTGAATGTATTTCTTCCACATGTCTACCTGCTGTGCTTCTTGTGGAGTATTTTGTGGTGGGACAGAGGGAGCATTACGATCCAGACCTTTCATCACAGTCTCATACTCCTAAAAGATAGGCAGATATTACAACATTTAAAACAAGACTAATAATTCAATAATGTGTTGTATTTTTAATATTTGAAAGTTATTCTACTGAACACGTATTGCAGTTCAGTGTTTCACCAAAATGTATTTGTTAAAAGGAAAACAAAAATCTACCATCATCCATACCTTAGCAACACGTCTAGCATTCATATAATCTCTACTACGATCTTCAATCATTTTTTTGGCTAAGTGGATATTGATTCCCTGGAAGAAGAGAACAAGCTGTTAAAACTCTGAAAACTTGTACTTGCAGAGATTCACTGAGACCTTTTATGTATTTTATTAAATATGGTATACACAGCTCCCTTTTCACGACCCTCTAATCCCTTGATTCAAGGTAGAGTTGGAGCGACTGGATGGAGTTGAGCATTTACTGACTGGATGCCCATCCTGATGCCACATAGAGATCACAGCAGATATTTTTTCTTTGCATCCTAGAGGAGAAACTGCCACTACCTAGGACTGAATTCTCAACTTTCCAACTGGGAGGCAATGCAGGCAGCACACAAAACCACGTACTGTCCAGTCCGCGGAGAAACCTTTCTCCACGGAACCGGTCCCTGGTGCCCACAAGGTTGGGGACCTCTGCTGTACGGTATATACAGCATAACTATAATATGAAAATTTAAAAGAAGAATGAGCAGAAATGTACGTAATTAAAGAAAACCTTCAAAAACTTTGACTAGAACAGATTTCTTGAGGAAGAAGGAAGGAAGGAAGGAAGGAAGGAAGGAAGGAAGGAAGGAAGGAAGGAAGGAAAGAAGGAAGGGCGGATGGAGGGGAGGAGGTTTCTGTGGCATTAGCCACATTTTTAGATGAATTAGTTTCACAGTTTTCAGTTTTTTAAATAACCAGCCACTGGTTGTCAATATAGGGTATTCATATTGTTATTATAACTGGTACATAAACAATTCATATTAACTCCATCCACTTCTTTCTACTTTTATTTATTTCTTTATAGGTTTTATTAATTTTTAAAAATTACAATCTTTAGAGCATAGTAAACAAGAAGATATCTGGAGCCGAGGTGGCGCAGCAGTTAGAGTGCAGTACTGTGTTCAGCAGGTCAGCGGTTCAAATCTCACCGGCTCAAGGTTGACTCAGCCTTCCATCCTTCCGAGGTAGGTAAAATGAGGACCCAGATTGTTGGGGGCAATGTAAATATATATATATATTGCTTACTGGTGTACACCGCTTAGAGAGTGCTTGCACTTAAAGCGGTATATAAGTCTCATAAATAAATAAATAAATACTGCACAATCCAGTATTTCTTCCATGATCTTCCTTTCTTCCCCATATTTTTTCCCTTTTCCTCTCATTAAACAATTACAATTCTTAGTACTACTGATGTATAAAAAATTAGATATAGACATCTTCATCATATTTTACTAATATTATAGAAATAACAATATCAATTCATAAGTCAATATCCTGTTTTTCATGCTCTTATTAAAGTTTGATTTCCCATCAATATTTAAAGTATCTTTGTCAGTTATGATTTTCTCAATATTAATTACATTTATATAGCTAAAAAAATTTATTCATACCAATCCTCCTTTTATTTTCAAATTTCCCATATCAAAAGAAGAAAAAAGTTATTTTAATTCTAAATCATATCTTCCATTATAAAAATCTAGTTATATCTAAGGGTCATCTGTTCTTTTAATCATATTCAAACAAGTATATTAAAGAGATAGTGCCCCCTCTGGTAGATCAAATCCTCTGTTTTTTTAAGTCTAACTCTCACTTTCTTTCTTTGCCAAGCAGCTTTCCAGACCAAGGCAATTAAATCGCCTAAGAATTTTCTTTCTATTTTTGTGAAAGCTGTTTGGCATGAGAAAGACAATTTAGGTAGAGTATTTTTGGAGAGGAACTCCGCCCATCCACATTCCCTAGACATTTTCCCCTGCCCGCTCTATGTTCCATTTTCTAGAATCTTCTTCCTTGTCACTAGCTGTATTTTGGAGAAAGGAGTAAAGGGTCTATTGTATTTTCATTGTTATAGGTAGGTCTTACAGTATTTTATTTGTGTATGGAAATCCGTATTTCCCTTCTCCTATCTCCTCCATCTTTAGGTCCATTTCTTCTGCTTCACCCTCTGATTTCTGGTTTATTTGTTCATATTTTTTGTAGTCGTTGTCTAGGAGCTTTCCAGTTGTAGCTTCAATTTGGAGATTTGGTCCTTTATATCCTCTAGGTTATTATTTTTAGTCTCATTATAGTTTCTTTTTATGTCCTCTTTGTATGCAACAATTGTTTGATGAATTTGCTGTAGCACAGAGAGTATTTCATTCTGAAAGGTATTTGGTTTTTTTTTTTTTTTTTTGAGGCATCATTCCTAGAAATCGTCTAGTATCACCAGTCTCAGTAAGAGTGGAACAAAATTTACTCTAGTTTTCTGGTCTTTATATATAGCTTTTATAATCCAGTCCTAATAGCAATATTTTATAGTAATCCTTTGTCTCAAGTATCCTGAAAATTATCAGTCAGGCAAGGTTGTAATCCACAAAGTTCCCAGTGTTCAAAATGTTCAATTTCCTTGCAGCCAGACGTATTCAAAGGTCAAAAATTTTCTTTCTCTCCCATTAGCTCTTGAAATTAAAAGCTTAGTAGGTATTTATAGTCCATGAAGGTCGGGATGATAAATATGCCAAAATATTTTCCTTTATTGCCAGCTGTTCTCCCTTAAGCTGAAATTCACCAAGCAGCCCAGGAGCTAGTTATGGTGCTGTAGTAAAGTCCACCACTAGATGTAATTCAAAGTCCATTTTCCACTCTTAAAACAAAGGGTTGATTTCTTATATTTCTTACAATTCACCTCGTTTTTTTTCCAAAGAGAAAATCTTAACAATTATCTCTGTTCTCAGATTTATCAAAACTGTAGCTTTGTATTACTTTCACTTCAGTATTGTGTATCTCTGTCTTCCATAAAACATTTAAAATGCCACTTCCATTCATATCCAGAGGTTTAAAGCTTCTTGGGAGCCTTTCCCAGGAAATTCAGTTGTAAAATAGCAAAGAAAGGATCAATATTCTCACCCAGTCCATACATGTTGTTTACGATGTGCTAATTAAAGCTTTTGTTCTTCAGTTGTCAGCATCCAATGGTTGGCTACAGAGGTGTGGCCGGTCTTTCCCCCTGCTGGTTTAGGGGGCTGTCCTTGGATTGAACAGAGGGACCGCCATCTCTCCATGACAGACAAGGCAGCCCTCCTTCTTCATCGCCTCTTCGGGGTGACTTTAGGCCCTTTTCAGGGCCCCCAGCAGGGCAAAATCGGGCACAGAAAACAGAGCTCTGCCTTCCTGCGTCCCGTCTTGTTGCGACGCAAAACCAGAAGGCACTTCTTTCTACTTTTAATAAAGGTAAACTTCTGGCTTGGGAACATCAGTTAATCAGGCTTCAGAAATGTAATTTCAGAAATAATTCTGAATTCACTGTGATTATGGCAGACAGTAAATGCTTAAGTTCAATAAACTTGAAGAAAAAGTCAATGAAATTCAGATTTAAAATGTTATAAAAAAACTAAAATTTACCTGCTTATGTTATGAAAAAGTTTGTTTCCCAAACGATTCATTAGCTATTCTTGGGCTAGGATTATCGCAGAATATATACCTTGTGGCCAAAATGATCAAAACTGTATCTGCAATCCAATATTCTCCACATGTAAATTCTGCATCATTGAGATCAGGTACAAAAATCCACAGTCAAACAAGAATCCCAGAGATTTCAGTGGGATAGGATTTACTTGCTTACAAATATGAATGCCTTTCTGAAGTTAACTCAGCTTTACCAAATAATGTGTTAGCTTTCAAATTCTCTAGACTGTTTTTGATTTGAGGTGATAAACAAAGCAACAAAGGGGGAAGGAATATGAATGGCTGGTCTTAAATGCAGAAGATGATTTTAAATGATTTTAATTTTGAACAGTATGAGACAAGAGGCTATTCACCTTGCTTGATCAGAAAAAGCTTCCACTGCAGAGGAAGAAAATAGTTGTGTTAGAGTCACTCAAGTTGGAATGCTAGCATCTTTTCATTTACCTCTTCATACTTGTTATAATCTCGCCAAAGCTGTTCAATGTTGATCATAGGGTTCACACAGCCTCGCTGATAAACCCTGCGGACAGCTGTTATCCTCTGGTTTTCTGCGTAGGACCCTACTGCTTCACTAAATAGTGAGGCGAGACAGTAACATGTCAGCAATTACACTTTGCAACCTGTATGAATATCAACATTGCATTAATTAACACAAAAGAAAAAAATATTGTACTTACACGCCTTTCAAAAAATTGATGTAATCCACCCAGATCTATATAAAAAGCAGTCAAAGTTTAGTTTGTCATAACTGTTCAATATTTAACAAAAATATTTCCAAAAAATATATAGAAACCTACCTGATATGACATTATTTCCATGCCAATTTTATCTAGAGCAAAATCATACGCTTGAGCCATTTTTTCTCTATAAAAAATACACAGAAAACACACAATTAAACTTGCATGAAAAATATTTATTATGTTCAATTTACTTTAAATAAGCAGGTTTATCATACATAAAAATACTATTCCAGGCTTTTCATAGGGCAGTCTGACATGCTTCAAGAGGATCTACATTTTGGGGAGAATTCCCTGATCAAGGAACCTATATTCTACATTTTAAAATGATTTTTTAAAAGCACACTGAGGTTTCAACTTCTTTCGGAAATAATGCAACTTTTTTAGGTTTAGAAAGAGCTGAAATAAAGCAGCTTTAATAATATTAAGACATTTTGTAGTTTATTGGCAATCTTACTCTGGGATTACATTACTGTACAGTCATATAATTGAAAATATTGATAGTTCTTCTTTAGTGACTACAACTGAGACAGGCACTTCAGTCATTAAACAAAACAGTTTCTAAGTGAACTTGTGACTGTGGTTGCAATCTTGTTTCAGCTTTCCTTTGCTTTACAGACCTAGGAAGGTCATAAAAGCAAGAACTGATTACAAAGCTATTTTTTTGATCATCAATTTAACAATGAAAAGTACTACCATGTTTTCCTGAAAATAAAACCGGGTCTTATATTAATTTTTGCTCTAAAAGATGTGTTAGGTCTTATTTTCCGGTTAGGGCTTATATTTGGGGAAACATGTTACACAAGGCAGTCACTAAAAGACTACCTGTACTGCAAAGTAAAGTGAAATAAGATTTTAAAAGTTAACAGTGAGAATGATTACACTTCAAACAACTTTCAGGTTAACTTCAAACTGCTTTAAACTGATGGCCACCTGGACATTTGATTCTCCAAAGAGCAGGAAGCTTGAAAAAAATCCAGTAGTTTGGAGTGAGCTAGATGCTCACAGACTAACTATAATGACGCGCAACTATTTATTACAGTTTAAACCACTGAATCAAGAAAATTAACTTTGTGGTATCCTTATACTAGAGACACCACTGAGCAACAGTGTAGTTCCAGGATAGGTTATTATTGCTTCTACATCAGAAAAAAATTGTTTTTAAGTGAAAGCAGGTGAAAAAGAAGGGGGAGAGGAAAACACCAGTTCTCGATCAGCACTGTTACACCAATACTCTTAAGTAATCCTCCTACAGCACCAAGTCACCAATTTATACCATGTGAAGAACTGATCTTGGCAGAGTTATGTATTTCTTCCTTTAAATCACAGGCCCAGAAGAAGTAGCCAAAAAACTTGTATCAACTTACTTATAACTGGGTAGCTTCCCTTTTGTTTCTCGTACATATGAAAGGTAGCACTTCCACAAGTCAATGTGTAAGACTTTCATAAGGCATCGCTGAAACAGCTATTTATATTGAGAGGAAAAAGAAATAGGAGTCCATCAGCAGGTCAGAGTAGATTCTTGTTTCTCAAATTTGAACAAACTTTCTCAATTTTGAAGAAAATACAATGGTCACCCTCAACGTTTTTGGGCAAAGCTTGGGCAAAGCTTGATGAATTATACTCAGTCTCTATTATTTTAAACCAGTGCTAAAAATAATAGAGCTATAAACTGCAGCAATTTGAAAGAAAAGATTGACAGTATCCAGTACTGGAGGCCTTACATGTTCTGATTTTCTTAAGGGAAATTTGACTTGCACTTTATACATCTTAAAGCATCAGAGGGACTTCACATAACATATGTACTTTGTTACTCAGATGACTGTAGTAGAATATAAGGATATCTTTGCAGGAGGGGTAGAAACTCAATGTTAATTTAGAGCACAGCTGCATGCTTATTAAAGACATTTTTCTTAGTAATCCATATATGCCTCGTAGACCAGGTATCTAAACCAAAGTACTGTCTTCAAATCAACCGTGGCATAATCTAAGGCTCTTCCATCAGTAGTTTTTGAGGAGAAATACAAAGGCATCCCATTCAATTCCAAACTTTGTAATGAGAGAGGCATTGAAACCACCATGTTTTATGACACTGTTCATTTTATGCCCAAACTCATGAGCTGTTAACCCCAAACTTGGGATTAATTAAATATTCTGGTCAAACTGGTCAATTATATTTAAAATATTTCCTTTTTTAACTTTTTCAAACGAGTCTATTTAAGTAAGGCCAATGTAGCATCTGTTTGATCTGTTTTGGTAATCTGATAATTAGTGTGGTGTCTGGCCACAAGTGGCGGCAAGCAGCCGCTGAAGAAGTCAAGCAATGGTATCTATATGTGTGCAAAACAGAAATGCCTGATATTTGTGGAAAGGCATCAATGCATTATAAGACCAATCTAATTGGAGCCTATCTGATTTTATTTCTCTGCCAGGTAAAGTTTGATGCACATTCCATGGTATTTAATTTTATATAGGTAACAGTTTTAATATTTTAAGGCATGTTGTATTTATGTTAATTTTTACATTTATTATGAGCAATGAACATTTATTATGAGCCTATTTTCTTGGGATTGTCTGGTGTTAAAATGCTAAAGTAAGTCCAATCCTGTTTTGCTTGCATGTTAACTAAAAAGCATATACAAAACATCTTTTTGTGCATTGTTAAGACAGTCGTTTTTCCAACTTGGACAGCTGCTTTCAACATGCATAGAAAATACAGGAAACCAAGTGGGTGAACATGCAGATTTTGAAGCGGTCCCAAGCATCTGAAGAAAACATGGTTGTTTTGATATTTGAGAGGGGGGAGATTCTTCCCACTGTACTCTCACATGATAGTTGTCAGAATGGCTGTAACAGTTACTTTTTCTTTTTAATCCTTTGAGCCAATGTTGATCCAGGTAACTACCTGGACAAGTCTCTGTAATTCTCCTGGCAAGGTTTTGGAAATGTTTTGCTATTGCCACCTTCTTTCTAGGGCTGAGATTCAGTAATTGGTCCAAAGTCATCCAGCTAAGATAGGAACAGAATTCAAGGCCTCCTGGTTTCTAGTCCAAGGCCTTAATCAGTACATCATACTGTCTCTCTAAAGTTACTATTATAGATAAGTTGATATAAGCAATTGTAAAGGCCACTCTAACTTCTATTGTCTATTGCTTTTATGCGTCAACCATCATTTCTTCTTCCCAATCCACTGGGGCTCTTCATGTTAAAAAAAAAAATCCATAACTATCTTGATTATTTAGTTAGTAATTCCAGGAGTGACATAAAGCAAAAAGTAATCTGGTTGTGGTTCATACTAGAATTAGAGCTGCCAAGATAGCAACTTGCATACAGAAGGATGATTTGTGAGAATAGGAGAATGACAACCCACTCATTCCTGGGGGTCTCGTTATACCATATGACAATGCTAAACACCTCTATGGATTCCTTAAATACCTTACCGTGTTTCCCACTTTTATACTTTTTGTATAACCAACAGCCATATGGAACATTTAATTCATGATTCCTCAAAAAAATTAGGACATCTTAGCTCAAGGTAGGCACATAGCTTATTCTCACAGTAGAGAAAATACATATTTTAATTATTTACTATTCTGATTTTTAAAAATTAATGTATACATAGAAGCTTACCTTCTCTACTTTGTCATAATTTTTTGCTTTTATCTGAAAAACAAAACCCTCAAATAATTAGGTCAGCCTTTTATCAAATATGAAAAAAAACCTATATATTAATTGAAATAGACTTGGCTTTTTTTAAAAAAAAACTGCAAATAATTGACAAGTTAATGAAAGATTTTGAAAAAGCTCGTATTACTTTCAGTAGATGAGGATATATTGTGAGAAAATATACACTATGATATATTTCACAGTTATATAAAGATTTGCTCAAGAATGTGTTATTCTCCTGATAATCAAGTATAAATAACATTAATATTAATATTTGTTATTAACTAATAATATATTAATATGGAAGGCAATTTTAGAATTCACGTTTCACAGTTTATTTTCAATTAGCTAGCACAGACAATAATCCTTTATTAAATTAAATTCTAACATAGGTTTGAGAACACATTTACGTTGTTTTGTAACTATTTAATGACTTTCTAATAGTCGATCAAGACATTCATTATAACTGATACTACAGATGCCAAAGCAGCTTCTGATATTATAATATAATAACTATCATACAAAACTTCATGAAACTGAGATCCCTTCAGTGTTTCAGGATATGGAAACAGGTATCAAAAAAAAAAAGCTGCTGAATTACAGAATTAATCTAACACACAAATGAAATAAATACTCAGAAACGTCTCTGCCAAAAACTATTCAAAAGGCTTAAATATTTTTTGGGAATACTTCAGTAATTTGTTTCAATGTATTGATCAAATATAGCTGAGAACTCTCCATACAGTATTTGATATCAAAGTTTTGTTTTAAAATTAAGATTAAAAGCAGAGGCCATGGTGGGGGGAGGGGTGTTTCAATTAAAAATAAAAGTAACAGGGCTTTGGAAATCACTGTGGAATTTAATAGTAGGATGCCCTATTAATGATACATCTTGGAGTTCCGCAATATTAGTTCTAATATGAACAAAGTAGTGAAGAAATTAATGCAAACACTTCAGCTGGTTGCATTATTGCAAAGAAATGTGAAAACCTATGAACTGGTGTATTTTTTTTTTAATTCTAGGCAGCACTGTAATCATTAAAGACTAAATCATGAGGGGGAAACTTAAAAGTAGCATCACTTCCAGTATCTTTAAACTATATTGGGCTTTGCAGAAGTGAATATTAAATGTCTAAAAGACAAGTGAAACAGCAGAAGCTAATGAAATGGAAAGGCATCTCTGTGAAGGGATGGAATAACCTTAATGATGCTGCCACTGAGGAAGGTTCAGCGTATAGGAAGGCAAGGCAGACTGCTGATTCTTTCGGCCAAGCGCTGCCTGCAATCACTCTATAGCAGTGTTTCCCAAACTTGACAATTTTAAGGCATGAGGACTTCAACTCCCAGAATTCCATAGCCTTAAAATTGTCAAGTTTGGGAAACACTGCTCTATAGGATTGCAGAGAGGGCTTTCTTAGCACTGCAGGGAATGTGCAGGAATATCTGGGACCTTCTGCATGCAAACCACATGTTCTACGGCTGAGGCTTCAGTGACAATTAAACACTAGGGTAAATAATTACCTGCTATAGCATTTAAAGCAGCAGGATATTCCACATCATCTGCAGGCATTTAAAAATAAAACATGTTTAAACTTAAATGTTTATGAAGCTGAATATGGACCAGGGTGAATAGGTTCTTTCACTCATCAATGTAAAGAAATAAAAATACTATTTCTATGCAATTCCTCTGCAAACACTGCCTGCTTATTTATGCTCTAAATCAGGCATGTCCAACCCACCGGCTGCATGCAGCTCTGGACAGCTAATAATGCTGCACAAGGTTGTAAACGTTTAACATTATTATGTGATTTATATGAAGATTAACAATATTATATATTTTTATATGCAGCTCAGGACAGTTCTTCACTCAACGCAGGCCAGGCAAGCCAAAAAGCTTGGACTCCCATGCTCTAAACAATTATTCTGAGAAGCATTTTCTCAATTGGTTACCCTCATGATATGTTGGAAAGCCACACTGCTTTTGGGAGATTATGGGAACTGTAATCCAATAGATCTTTAGGCACCTAATTAAAAATGGTCTGAATTTTTACATGTAAAAAGATGATGTATGGATAGAACATCTCAAAGAACATTTTGTTTGCACTGACTGGCATGAATGCCAATTGTGTAAAAGTATATCAATATTCTTTCAAGGGAAAAACTCTGTAGTATATTTTCTTTTTATCATACTATTGTTTTGTAATCTGTAAGTTTTTACTAATTGAAGAATGCACAATACCCTTAAACAGACATCCACAATTATGATTCTCTGTAGTTTTTAATTCATTGTGTAAGCATAATGTCTTGATATCAGAAATTTCTTTTCATAATGTTAGCTGTCATTTTTTTTCTTCTTGATTTTTTAGTTTGTAGTCTAAAATCTGTAAATTATGTACATTAGCAATATTTTAAATGAAATTAAATGTATTATTTTTATTTCTTATATTACTAGTACTTGTACTACCTCTTTTATTGTTATTAGTTTAAAAATCAATAAAAGTAACATACACACAGTTCTTTTTAAATTCAAAATAATGGCTTGGTATATAAATTGAAACCAATAGTGCAGTGGTGGCGAACCTGTGGCACGGGTGCCAGAGGCGGCACTCAGAGCCCTCTCTGTAGGCACACACACTGTTGCCCCAGTCCTAGGCCTTCAGCTGGGTTTTATAAAACCTTTTCGCTTTATGCCTCCGCCACCGTGTGCAAAAAAAAAAAAAAAAAGTTCAATCAGTCAATTTCAACTTCTCATGGGAAAAAAAAGATCTTGCAAAGTTGGAATTGATTGATTGAACTGTTTAGTCCCACCCAGTCTGCCGTTATCACCGCAGCTACGCCTACCCAAGGGGCCACGCCCACCCAATGGGCCACACCCACCCGGCACTCAACGATGCATAACTGGGTTTTGGGATGCAGTTTGGGCACTCAGTCTCTAAAAGGTTCGCCATCACTGCAATAGTGTCTCAGTGGTATCTAGGGTAAAGAAACTGAATTCAGTTGGCACCTAAGAGCTTGGGTTTTCTGTATCTCTTTGCTACCATCTAATTCTCATCTCTATTTTTGCACCCCAGATTTGTAAAATAGTAATTAAAACACATAACGTGCCGTATGTCATCTAGAACAGCCTTCCCCAACCTTTGCAACTTGGCGGCCCAGCTGGGGGGGGGGGAGAACCGGGCCGTTTAAGCGGCAGGCCAGCATGAATACATATGCACATGCAGCTTGACTACATGTTGAGCTGAGTGCGTTTGCCAACTGCTTGTGCTAGTTGAGCTGCCTGTGGATGTGCACGCCAGCCCGCCTCTCACACAGTCCAGTTCTGAATAGGCCATGGCTTGGTGGTGGGCTGTGGGTGGGGACCCGATTTAGAATGTCAGTGAGTGTATTCAGAAATTGAAAATAAGGTTTGTTGGCATTCTTTTGAAGTATGGATTGTTTTCTATTTAGATTTTCCTATGATTTCAAACAAGTGCGTATTATGCCTGTGAATTAGCAATTGAGAAATTCTTACTCCCCCCCCAAAAAATCTATTCAATTCAGACAGTCAAAATTCATTGCTCCCTTAGTACAATAAAACGGGGATATTAAATTATAATTTTGTTTTTTAAAAACTATAACTATAGTTTTCTAGAGTAGTGAAATGGGAAATTAAGATTAAAAGCTTCCTAATTTTTGAACCTTTGACAGCATTGGGTGTGTTTCCTTGAATACTTGAGTTTAAAAATAAAAGTTCAAGATTGTTTCAAAATAAACAGTAAAGAATAATTAAAACTTTGATATCTAGAATGTTACAAACACATTAAACCATTTAACCATATTTCAAATAAGATTTTTTAATTAATTGAAAAGAATTCTTCCCATGGGAAAATGGCTTGATTTGAAACATAGTAAGATAAAATTTTAAAACTGGACATCAGAGGGAACTAAAGATTACAATTAAAAGAACCCTTTTACTTAATTTACAATTACAGAATGAAGCAACATATTTTAACATTGAATATATTGAAGGATATCTTTGAACAATGTATGCAGAAGCTAATTCTAAAATGGTCTGCCTTTATAGAGTGTGTGTCAAAAGCAAGAATTGTCTGTGTGTCTAAAAGATGTTATAAGAGGAATAAGCATGAGGAACAAGAAAGTGGGTTGAAAATGTATTTCTATTAGAATGATATGGAAAAAAGATGTTTCATTGGACATATCAAAGAAACCAGCTGATGTCTTATTTATTGAAAGGGATATACAAATAACAAACCAAGAGAGTGACCTGGATAATTTTCCTGTACTGGATTTACAAAATATGTTTTGTGAAACTTTAGAGAATTTTGTGACGTGACAAAGAAAAAAAATCAAATTCTAGGACATTACTAGAAGGAACTAAAGATCAAGATTCTTAGAAGAAAAAGGAAGGAATATAAAATTTGTTTTATTTCATCAAAGTTAAAATGAATATTATCTCTGGTAACCCTCAGTGGACTCTAGTGGAAAATAAAATTGAAATGATGATGCTTTATGGATTTGTTTAGAGATAAAACACAGATAAAAGACAGGCTATGGGGATATATTTGTTGTATTTTAAGAGAAGGTAATAAGTTACTAAAATTCTCTATTTTTATTGTGATGAGCATGGGAAATCACTTTTTTCTTTATATTTTTCTTTTCTATTTCCCTTTCCATTTTCCCTTTTTCTTTCTTTTTTGCACCTTTTACTCTTTCTATTCTTTTTTTCAGTTTATATTAATTTTTACTGGTGAAATTATAAACTTTGATAAAATTACTAGTAAAAATATAACGTTCTTTTGATTACAAGATTCTGCTTTATCATCTCTATTTTATTTTAATCCTGAAAAACAATGTTTATTTTTGTTAACAAGTGACTCATATTAAAATTATTCATATTTACTGAAGTAGAAGAGTAGTAAGATGTACATTTGTAATTAAGCCTGTTCCTTAATATCATGTATCCAGACAATAGCTAACTAAGAATAGTAACTGCAGGT